ATGGCTTCTTCCCTGGTCAAGATGCTCATGTCTTGACATAGCTATCCTGAGTGAAATATATCTTCTTGCCTACTCTGCCCACTAACTGGACCTGCCTTGATCTGACTCCATCAATATTATCAGCTTCCACTGTGAACCTCAAGTAACTACAGCATTGAACACTATGATCCATTGATGATTTCTAAGTGAAAAGTACCTGAAGAAAGAGGTACTGGATTGCCTGCATCAGACATAATTTCACAAATTATGACAGTGATAAGGAAAGCTGCACCTGCAGAATGTTATCATGTATCAGGACTTTGAAATGAACTTGCCAGAATACAGCAAACCTAATTATAAAGGCCTTAACTATAATTTTTACATCTATGACAAATGGTTTTCAACTTAATATACCTTCATGGGAAGTGCAGGAGGTGGTGAATACCACAATGGAAGAGGAAGAAGAGACATCACAAGCTTTTATTTTATTTTGTGCTTGTACTTAGCTCAAATACATCCTTTCATATTCATTATATGTAACCATTCTTTCTAAATCTCAGACACACTAAGCATTTACTAGACTTTTTGTGGAAACAGAAAAAAATAGCCTAGTTACTATAGAAACTAGAGTCCACTGAAATATTCTGCATATTTACACTGGCACTCTTTTGCTGCTGAGATTAATGAGGTCTCTAGCAAAGCACTGCCTCTTGGGATTGCACAAAGTCCCATGGAGCCCACCCCAACCTGCCTACAACTTACTGAACAAACATTTCAGGCCAAGGTTATTAATAAATACCTTTTAGCAGAGAAGACTGATAAGCTGGAAAGACAACAAAGCCCTCAAGTACATTTATGGCTCTCTCTGGCGAGAACTTGGGATCATAGCTAGGGTGTGACAGATTCAGAACTCAAGAGACCTTTCTCAACAAGGTGGCCTTTTGTTGTTTCTATGTGTGTCAACAATACTGAATCCACTCAAAAGGACACAGGCTAACAGGTGAGTTGTCTCCAATGTGCTGCCTACAAGCTAGCCTGCGTGGCCAAGCTAAGGAATCCACCAAACTTTTCCCAATGCTAATTTACAGTTTCACAGAGAAAGAGAAAAGTTCCTTTGTACTGCTCCTCTGGCATTGTTCCTCCTCTATACAGAGGCCAGGGACTTAAACATACATATAGCCCTTTAGAGGACCATAAAGACTGCAGTATGATAATGGAACCAATTACCTAGGGAGGCTGTGGGCTCTCACACAATCAAGATGCAACTGGTCAGCCATCTGAGAGGAATCGATTTACTTGGTGTCCTGCACTAAGCAGGGGAATGGACCTGATGGCCTTCTGACTTCTTTCAACTCTAGTATTCTATGATTCTATAAACTAAATAAATGCAAAAGAACTGTGAAAAGAAACATGACTTTTCAAACCACAAATAGGGCAGGGGTGTTCAACGTATCCCAGTAGCTAATAGTACTATATCCTTTATTGGAGAAAAGATTAAGTGAAACATTCAGCGAAGTATGAAGAGCTGATCTATATCATCAACCTATGAAAAGCAGGAATTTAAATTAGCTTTATTTTAAAAACCCTAATATTGGATCCTAACTGTAAACGGCAGGCCAAGTCTCCTAAAATATCAAGTCCCTTGGTCAAGCCTTCCTGCTTCTACTAAATCATCTATTTCCCATTTGTGCTCTCACAAGCCTGATATGACATGCTGAGCCTAAGTCAGAGAAGCTTTTAAGAAGAGCTATATTAAAGTTTATCCTTTAGAAGTAATCATGAAATGTTGTCATTTTCCTCTCTAACTAAAAGTCAAAAGAATTGGATCTAAAATTGGTTTGTCACTATGACAACTAATGAACCAGTCTTAACTTTGAGCCCTTAAATCAACCAATGCGAATAGTAAAGCGTTATTCCAATTTTCAGATTCTGATTTTTTTCCTGAGCAGAAAATATCTGACTTTGAATGCATGCATTAAAGACTTAACTCAGACAACATACAGCTTATTATTGTTATTATCCAACATACAGCTTTTGCCTGTTGGATCTTGCAGCTTTGCTAGTTTTATTCCAAGGATATTACAAATGCACCACAATACCCAGTGGCTTTTTGATCATGGAACAACTCTGATGAGGAAACAAAGCAGCTATTCCCTACAGAGGAATAACCATGAATATCAATGGCATGGGGCTCCATACTTTTCCCTCTTTAAGTATGCCAAGTTGCTCCTGCCACTGGTATGAACATGTCATGAAGTCCTTTATCTGCCATATGTTTCTGTCAGGAGATGCTATAACTAGAATCAGATAATTTTTGGTTCTGCATGTCATTTTCCCATGTGGTAAACTATCAGAACCACACGTTGGAACAATGAAGTACTTACAGAGTCTGACTTGGTCCTAGCCACCCAGGTTAGCTATTGGGCCTTACTGAATAGCAAAGGCTATAAGACGCTAATCGTTTGAGCTGCGACCTTCTCTGAGCAGCAAGGTGTTCCCAGTTCTGCTTTTTTTCTGCAGGTCCCTCAGCTTTGGCACAAAATCTTCTTCCCAGCCACCTTTCACAGCTAGATTTACACTTAATGCATCTTTAAACAATATTTAGAAGGAAACTTTGCTTCTTTGTACAGCAAGGACAGGGAATGTGTGGAGCTCCTGATGTTACTGAGCTACAACTCCTGCCATGTTTCACTACTGACCAGGCTGGTTACAGCTGATGGGAGTTACAGTTCAAAAACCTCTGTAGAGCCACATGTTTCCCACTTGTGATGAGCAGAAATCCTGTGAAAACACATTTCAAATGAAACCTGGAAGATTTGATTCACTACACAGAGCACAAGGGAGACCACAGTTTGTGAGAGCCTCTGTGCAGGCAAACAGATCAACCTATCATCACCCCTTTCTTTTCTAGCTCCAGCAATGTTTCATTTAAACCTTTCCCACAGAGCTCCTTCAAGATCTCTCATTTATACTGGGGGGAGGAGGGGGTTGTGGAGTTCCCGCCAAAAACCATTAAAGCTGTAAAATCTTCCTGACAACAGGCACTGCACAGGCGCAGCACCCAAATATGTGTGATGCACAGAGACTGCAAGGAAGAACTCCGCATCCCGAAAATAATAGTAGCTGGTACTTATATAATAGTGTTTAGATCTCCAACTAGTGTACATCCAATGACAGAAGGCTTCTATCAGTGTAACAGAGAGGGAACTATTGTTTTGGGGATTCTTCCTCCTCTCCTCCAAAATCTGTTCCATAAATTTGGGGGAACAGATTAGGAAGAACACAGAAGGCTGCACCAGGGAGGAGAAATCACAGGAAATCATTCCCATTCTGCTGATAAAAGTTCATTACCACTTGTAGTGCTAGCTGACAAGTCCCATCAGATTTAGCCAGTCCAGCTGATAGTGAGGGCAGATAGGAGCTATAGGTCAAAACATCTGGAAAGTCACAAGTTATCCACCCTAATACCTTACCAATGAAATGTTTCAAGTCACCGAATATATCCAGACTTCATCATGCTTAAAGTAGACTCACAAAAATATAATGGGATTGAAATTAGTCATGGCTAACTTGCCCCACTGATTTCAGCAGATCGTCTGTAAGTATAACTCAGACCTGACCCAATGTCAAATGCAAGGATCACTCTCTGTCGCACACACACACCGTCTTACTGTAAATAAATTTATAGTGAATGACTAGCTTCAACAGTTATTTTCATTGTTTATTCTAAAGATGCATTAGAATTGTGATTAATGTTGATTATATGAAATATTAGTATGATTTTAATTAAGAAACTAAAACATCTTACCAATTTTCTTTGAGGACTTAAAACCTAAATGCCAAAGGAAACAAACAAACAAAACAAAATAACATATCCTCACCAATATGTTTCAAACAGACAAATGGATAATAAATGGTGTTTCATGAATGCTTCTCAAAGAAGGAGTTTTAAAATGTGAATTAAATTTTCAATATCCAAATACAATCTGTGTACAATTACATGCTGTTTTTATAAAATCAGTTAGATTCTGAATTTACGAGAATTGCTACCATAGGTTAGTTTCAGTGTATGGCTAACACATAATGTGAAATATGTAGATTTTCAACATCAAGTGGCTAAAAATACCAAGCCATGATGAAACAATTTACTCAGGGACTACTTCAAAATTCAGTGGATCTTTTCCAGAACAAGTGGTTTGAGAATTGAAGCCAAACAAACAACTAGTCCTAAACATCTGCTACCAGCTATTTATCTTCAAGAACTGATTTATTCTTTTTCATGCATATGAAATGCTATACTTTATAAACCTATCCTGATGCACATTTTTTTGCACATTTTATGAGGGGGCTGCAAGTTTTAAGAATGATCCATTCACAGAAAACCAGACAGAAAATGAAGTGAAGACACCAATTTTAAAGAGACAATGACAATATACAACATTTGCAACCCAGAAAAAGTAATTAATGTCAATTTTTCATTCACTATTGGTAGACAATCACAAACCCTGCATCAGAATGAAAAATGAGTTTAAAAATCAAGATAATCTTCAGTTCAGGGCCATAGCTAAGACATAGCAAAAGAAAGAACAAAGAGCAAGCTATACCTTAGGGAGACATCAAATCCTTTCACACCCAATTTTGCCTAATTAAGGCATAGTATTGGATCTAGGCCAATTAAAAGCCACACTAAAATAGAAATAAAAGTCCAGGTGCCACAGATACAAATCTAGCTTCATGTATGCAAACCACTGTGCCCTATTTTCTTAATGCCCTATGAAAACGAACCAATGATTGCAAAGCCTCCAGAGTCTGAATAAATACAGGGCTCCGTGATAGCAGGGCTGCTTTATAGAGCACAAAATGTGTAAAAACAGGAAACACAGTTATATATAAGAAGAGATGCAAAAAGGATTATTAGGACTTTTCAAAAAATAAGGGTGGTTTCCAGGACTGTAGTAACTTATCTCCATGAGAGAAATGGCAGACATATAGTAGATTTTTCATCAGGGAACATTTCTCACCATTCCTCTTTCTTCCCTCCTCTTTTGTCACTTTCTGCTGTGCCATTACTTTCTGTGGAGAGCCTCTGCCTGAATTGGGCTTTCCTGATTCGTTGCTGATGACAGAACCATTCTCACTAGGCGACCTGCTGCAAGTAACCATAGCAACACAAGGAAGAAGACTGTAAGTTTCTCCTGCATACTCCTCATTTCAAGGTTATTGCATTTGCTTGGCTTGCATCACTGACTTTTCTATTCTGATTTTTATGCAAAATAAAAATTAAAATATGTTGCAATACAGAAACACAGTAAAAGCAGGGGTTCACAATAGCTGCAAAACATTTTGTATCACAGCCTAAAATGCAGCAAGGTTCATATGCATCCACAAATGACTATCTCTCATTTATAAACTCAGTGATAAAGAAAATATTGTAAAATAGCAAGTTCTTTTTTCATACAGAGGTCATTAAACAATTTTAGTTGCATAACTCTTTATCCTAACATTCTTTTAGAAAATGCCTGCACACTCATTCCAAGAAAGTTAAGGTGAAGAGTTAAGCAATTGTTAATCGTTTAATGGACTCTATGCAGAAAATAAAACTGGTGTTTTAATCATTTTCTGTGAGTTTATAATGAAAAGGCATTTAGTCACAAATACATGATCTCTATAAGCTTTGAGCACTTGCTTACATATACAAAATGTATAATTTTATTCATGCTTATTAAACAAATCAAATAAACAAATATAATATGTTTATTATTCGAACCTGCAAAGAGGTAGAAAGCCTCTGCTTCAGTTTCAGCTAGCCATGGTTTCTTTTAATGTTCAAGCCACTGTATTATACATGGGTTATTTAAACAATCCTGGATCATTAATTAGTTCAAAGCTAGCTAGTTTTCAATAAACCAGTGTTAACACTACTACAGCTTGTTTGGGGTCAGCCCAATCTGTTCCACAGGGCAACTGCTGCAAGGGGAAAACATGCCCAAGGTGTGCACAAAAAGCTAAACTATTGTTTAATACTATGACCACAGTCTATTAGGAAGGGGTATACCTCTGATTATCTTGCAGTCAATCTGTACTGCAGAAAGATAACCATCTTCATCATGCATGACCCTGAACCTCCTGAGACATCATTCTGGTCATTCCCTGTCTCTGCTTCAATAGTATTTTCCCCTGGGATTAAATGTAGGAGAAAAAAGGGGGAGTTAGCACCCTGGCTTCCTCCCCACAGGAAATATCCTGTTTTCATTTGAAAATGAGATTCTCCTTGATCTTGGCAAAGTACTATCCTAAAAGTCCTACAATGTACTTCTGATCTGGTGCATATGCTTATATGTGCACGTATATAAAACCTGAACAGCCCCTTGAAGATGCTGAACTTATTGGCAGATAATAAGCTAGGATTCATACTTATGAATGAACACTGTGCTGCTGTGGAAGACTGCCAAAGAGGTCAAATCTAGTTGCGTTTGACTTCAAAAGAGGAAACTTTTCAAAAATGAGGGAATTGGTAAAGAAGAAGCTGAAGGGGAGAATCAAGAAGTTTAAATCACTTTAAAGTGCTAGGAGATTGCTCAAAAACATTCTATTAGAGATATAGATAATATGCATATCACAGGTGAGAAAAGTTATCACAAAGTCCAGGAAATCACCAGCATGGTTAAATGCAGAGTCAAGGAAACTATTAGGGAAAAGAAAGGTTCCTTCAACAAACTAAAGTCTTGCCCAAATGAAAATCACAGACAGGACCACAAGTTTGCACATGGAAAATGCAAGCTGACAATCAGAGAAGCAAAAAACAGTTTGAGGAGCACACTGCTAACAATATCAAGGCCAACAATAAAGAATTCTTAAAATATATCAAAAGAAAGAAGCTAAGAAGGCAGTTGGGCCATTGGATGATAATGGGATTAAAGAAGGACTATGGTGCGGAGAGGAGTTTTCAGAGAAGCTGAATGAATCCTTTTTGTCAGTCTTCTCAGTAGAGCATGCAGAGCAGACACCTGTCTCTGTGCTAATAGATTCTGGAAGGGAGGCTGAGGAATTAGTAGTGACAAAAGATGACATTCCCAACATTACTGACAGACTGAAAATCAGCAAATCACCCGGTCTGGATAGTATCCATCTTAGTTCTCAAGCATTAAATTGATGACCTTTTAACCAAAATATTTAACATATTCCTAAAATTAGCCCTCCAACCATTGGGTTAGAGAATGGCCAGCATAACACCATTTTTTAAAAAGGGGTCTGGGGCATCCAGGGGAAAGTGGGGAAGGATATATTTTTCTCTCCCTCCTGTCCCAAGAACCTGATTGGTGGAAGATTTGGGACAGCTAAAGGGAAGTACATCTTCACACAGCATATAGTTAAGCTATGGGATTTGCTGCCATGAGAAATGGTGATAGCCACCAATGAGGGCAGATTTAAAAAAGCATTGCATAAATGCATGAGGGAGGAGGATAACAGTGGCTACTAGCCTCACTGGCTGTGTGCTGTCTCCTTTAAAAGGTAAAGGTAAAGGTTTCCCCTTGACATTAAGTCCAGTCATGCCTGTCTCCAGGGGGCGGTGCTCATCTCCGTTTCCTAGCCGAGAGAGCCAGCGTTTGTCCGCAGACAGTCTCCGTGGTCATGTGGCCGGCATGACTAAACACCGAAGTGCACGGAACGCTGTTACCTGCCCACTGAAGTGGTACCTTTTTATCTACTTGCAATTGCATGCTTTCGAACTGCAAGGTTGGCAGGAGGTGGGATGGAGCAACGGGAACTCACTCCGTTGTGCAGATTCGAACCGGCAACCTTTTGATCAATCAGTCCAGCAGCACAGCGGTTTAAACCACTGCGCCACCTGCAGTCCCCGCTGTCTCCTTTACATGACTACATATACCAGTTGCTGAGGAGCTTGGGCAGAGGGAGGGCGTGTACCCATCCTGTTGAGGGATACAGTGGGCAGCTGTTTTGCCACCATGGATACTGGATGCTGGAAAAGATGGACCTTTGGTCCAATCCAGCATGGCTTTTATGTTCTTATCTTACCCAGCAGCCACTGGAATGGTGCAACCAGTCATAACATACATTCCCATTCCCACCTGTCCTAGTTTAGAACTTAGCACTATATTTTGAACAATAGCATCCCTACATAAAATACATTATTGAAGTCTAGACTGGTAACTATCAAAGCACAGAAAAGAGTGGCTGGGCAGCTCGAGGGGTTATGACTAGAGCATCCGCCTCACTCAGCTGAGGTTCTCTGTTCCATGGAAGTCATTTAAATTTTTGTTAAGTTACTTGTTTTTATAGCACTTTTTTTCTTTCCTGAAAAACTTCCATAAACACTGAATCAGCCATCAGTCATCAGCAGGTTAGGCAAGCAAACAAGCCCAGGTTAACCTTCTTCTGTCAATAGTTACCTCTTTCTTGTATCATTGGACTTTGCAGTTTTTGCTGTACTCCCATCCTGAACAATTTCTCTCTCCTGGGAGGCAGGAGTATCTCTCACAGGAAGTGGCAATACTACAGTCTCTTGGGTAACAGGTAAAACTTCATCTTCAGCTCCCTGCTGGCCTAAGTGTTGTTTGGCATAGTCAAAGCCTTGGACTGGCTGTTGAGATAAAATAAAAATGGAAATTCCTTGAATCTGACATATATCACTTACGATATTAAACTGCACAATTCTAAATTGTAGCCAGAGCTTCAAACTGTATGCATGGGACAGTGATGAAAAATTCAGTCATGTATCTATTGTTGCTATTGTAAAAAAGGAAAAGAAATATGAATTTTATTTATTCTGAAGTATTCTAAGGTTGAGCTTAAATAACATAGCTTGTTTTGTGTTCCTGTTTGTGAATCTGGAAGAGCAAACTATTTTTATCCTTTCTTGCTAACACAATTTGAATTGTTCCGATGTTGTTCTTTTTGGTGTCAATTTCCTCTTCCCTGATTGGCTGTGATGACCCAATATGGTGTTGTTTTCAGGCACCCATAATAGCATCATAAGTTTTGCCACAGCAAACAAAATTAAATCACAGTATAGGGTAATGAAGCTGAGAACCACGAGGACAAAGACAAAGGAAAATGCCACCAAGAAACTGCAGCAGCTGCCTTCAGCATAAAGGAGTACCAAACAGCAATGAAACAGTATTTGATACAGCCCTGTTTTTAAGCAAAAAATTAACTTATTGGAAGAAAGAAAAAGAAAACATGGAAAATGTATCAGCTGACAGTATCTTCACAAGGAACACTAGGTTAACAGGAAATATTCCAAGAGTCTTTGTTTTTTAACAAATTAATCAACTTTTTGAATATATTAATATAAACAAGATGATTTATGCCTTCACGTGCATAAATCTTGACCTTGCTGAATTCAATGCCTTCAAGCACTGTTGCTTTTTTGTCCAGAACAAAATGGTTTGGCAATATTAAGTTTCAACCTTGTGTTACTCCATAAATTATACGTCAACACAATAAACCAATCCTTCAGGCTTTCTATGTTATCTACAAACTGGAATATATCCATTTGTAAACTTAACCAATTGGATAACATTGTTCTTTACAACACTGTTTGCTTTGTAGACATTAGTTTTTCTTCAGTAATGTGGGAAAATAAATTACATTTAACAGATGCATATGATATTCTGAAAGTATACCAGCCTAAATTATATACATTATCCTTTGTGAATTATCCAAATGTGGTCCCAACTGTATCTTTATACTTCAATTCACTGATTAATACAAATGGAAAGAAAATTCTCACTTCAGTGTACTTTAGAAAGAATGCCCATCTGATATGTAACACAACAACCATACATACTAGAAGTACTTAGCATAGGTGCTTAGCCTGACACCTCATGGTGGTCAGAAGTACTCCTTTCTACCCTACACATGAAGCAAGAAAAAAGGGGAACAGGGATGAATTAATTTTGGTATCTGGAGTCTGAGCCATTATGAAATGGACCCAGGAGGTAGACCCATGGAACATAACATCCAAAACATATGTCCGGAGCTGAACACCACTCCATCACTATTGTAAATGCCTATTAACATATTTCACAAAACAACCCCCCCAAAAGCCATCAGAACTGTTCTGGCCACAGAAGAAATACATGTGTTCTCAATTCCAGTTGTCATTTCCTCAAAGCTTAGCACAACTGTGATTACATATAGGAATCATGATGAGTGAATTTGATGAATCTGCTGTAATATTTTTATTATATCTGGTACTAAGCCGAACATTTTAGATTCAAAATTCAACCCTTTTAAACATTTTTGCATACCTATCACAAAATTCAGTTCTCTGCTGAACTTGGATAGCCCAAAAAAAGCCTACAGGCATTTACAAGGCTGATTTACCATGCCTAAACACTCCCCGTTTTGCCTGCCTTCCTTCAAAATGAGCCTGCAGTTATTCATGTAATCGATGTGTAAAAAGAAATCGCATGTATCACCTATCATGCCATGTAATTTATTTTCTTTGTCAAAAACAAGAAAAAAGAAAAATACAATAGACTGAAAACCAACTGCTTGAGGAAGTTTTTCATCCTTTCTCAATTTTTAATAAACAGAACAGTTTTTAATACAAATTAAAATTGTCAGATTAACTGTTAGTGGACTATCACAATGCTGCCATCTGTACAAATTCATAAAAAGACAAACCACTATACTTTTTTTCAACCTTGCTAATCTCATTTAGGGAGACCTTTGGTCATCAATTGCTAGCTTTTTTCCAGCATTATTTTCAACAGTTTATATTTTTTATCATTCTCCTGCATACTCCTTAAACTGCTGTTTTAAGCACACTTAATTCAAAGCAACATTTAACATCTGTGGGAATTATTTGCCAAAGAACTTAGAATAAGAGTACTGGGTAGTCTCTGAAGCATGAACAAGGAGCCTAAGACTTGGAAGCAGTGATTCGGAATTTGTAAGGAAAACGTAATCAAGGCAATGATGTTGAGCACATGAGAGTGCAGGCCAGTGTAATCTCAATTTTACACTGTAATCTCAGTGTAATCTCACCTTGCATTCACAGAGTTGTCACGTCAGAGAAAGGCACAGAGTTGTGTTATACTAGCCTCTGTGATGGGTAAGCAGCACCAGGATCCTGGATTGGGGAGGACTGGTATCAACAGCAGAGTGCCTTCTTACTCCTGTGTTGACTGACTGGTATATTCTACCCGTAGTACACCAGGCTATATACCTACCTGCATCCTCCAACAACAATCTGCAGGGACACTGATCAGAAAATTCCCACCCCAGGGCTACTCATAGGGACTGTGAACTGCAATGTTGGCCTGACTATAACAGATTGTTGGTTTAATCATCAATTGCCTGATAACACTCTGTTTCCCAAGTTTTTCTGTTTTTTCCATTTCATTCCAGCTGCTAAAGATCATCAGCAATTTTCTCGGGCCATTTCAAATTGGGATTTTCCCTTTGCTTTAAACTGAGCACTAGAATACATTTGTCTCTATGTTAGGAAGTCAGACGTTCCTCCCTGTATGGACCAAAGTTTAGCCATTAAATTCTTCTACCCCGCCTGCCCCAATTATATCACCGTGTTGAGAAATTCTCTGCTTCCAGCCCATAGGTTCTTGTTTACATCAATTCTCAACATACTGAGGTCATGTTATACATTTAACGTTACAAGGGAGAGTTGAGTGACAGCATTGCTGTCTGTAGTCATGAGCTCCCCATCTCACCTAGTTTCATACTGAGTTCTGAGTTGTGGATTATTTTTTAATAATTTCTTTGCTTCCTTAGTTATATTGTGATATTACTCTGTATTGCCCCCGTCCCTCTTTTTTCTTTTTCTTTTGCTTAGGATGTTTTGTTGCTTTTGTTTAGTTTTGTGTGTGATCCTATCTCACTGGCCCTCAAGTGTATCCAATGTACGATGAGAGGTGCAGTGGTGATGATCTTTGCTGCTGTCATGCTTTGCACCTTGCAGTTCATGTAGGTGGATGCTGTTGGCCATCTAGCTAAAGCACTGCAGAGAAGAAGGGAAGGAGGTTGGACTACCACTTGGATACAATATGAGCCGTCAGTCACAGCCTCCTACTTTTTCTGCTTTCTGCCTCCCTAAGGCTGATTCATGACCTTGGAAAGGCAGCTGGCACAGTTCTTTCTACACCGGCAGCAAGGCAGTGAGGCAGGAGCTCGGTCTTCAGAATTCCAGCACCAAGGTCAGAGGACCTCAAAGTTAGGGCTCCAAATCATCCTATGGGCCCCCCCAAATGATGTCGGGAAGCAACAGGATTATACCCTATTTATTTTAGTTTATTTCAAAATGACGAACAAATTCATGAGGGGAAAAGTAGGCTTTTCACATAGGTAAACTCTTAAATTATGATTTCACATTCAACAAATGTCTATATATAACAGATTTTACATTGATTGGGGCACCATTGTGCTTTGTGGTTATCATGATGTAATGATTAATTCAGCTCTGGCAAAGGTATGTGAGCTGACATGTGTGAGCCAAGAAAGGAGCTACACAGACAACTTCAGCATTGTAATACGCTAATTTCACTAAAATTTCAACAGAAGTCAAAAGCTGGCTAAATGTCAGTTCCACAGATATGAAAAAGAATTAGCATACACATACACATGCAAATACCATCATGATTTAAAGATGTTTAGAATGTGATTCATCATAAAGGCTTAGGGCCCAAGACACATACAACTGACTTTTGCTGCCCTTCAAATAGAAAATCACTTTCTCTAAAATTACACCAATAATTAAAAGGAACACAGTTTTCACACACATGCAAACCCAAACCATAGCCAGAGAATCAAGACACTAGTAAAACATTAATAAAGTTCAACATACTCAGTTTAAACCATTTAGCGTTGGCAACATATTACAATTTTTATCAGGTATAAACTCCCCACAAGTTGATTGTGGCTATCTATCCTTATTTTGAAGTTGTTTAAGAAGAACATAATTAATCACATTCATTTACTTTCTCCAGTTTTTTAATTTAGTCAATTGAAACAAATGCTTCAAAGTATACAGTACTAGAGAATATCCCACTTATTAAATCAATCAAGGATGGAAAAAAGATTCAAGAACTTTAAAGATGCTACAGAATGAATTGCTTTAAAAAGCCATTATCTTTTCCAAATTACATTCATGTGTTGAGCCACTTTTGAAGAGCTGTTCTTATACTACAGCCTGGGTGGTGCAGCAAACCACTTTTCCCCACTGTACGATATTTAATGCTAAAGGATTCATTACCCCTCTGTTCTTTCATTAATTCGCTTAGTTCCATTCACTGAGGGAGGGTTCTGTGTGGTGATCCAGTGGGCAGCCCTTCTGTGCAAATAACTGCAGTGCATAGCATTCTGCTAGCAGCAGCTGCAGGACTGCAGCATTGATTATGCAGTTCCACACTCCTTATTCTCCTTGATATGTGAAATCAGAGCAAGCAGACACGTAAAGCAGAAATATTCCACAAAACAAAAATACAAGCAGCAGCCCAAGGAGGTTTCTCTTTGTAATGTGTAAACAGTAGATTTTTTCCTGTAAAGAAAGAACCCACCAATATCCAAAGAGCACCCTCCTAAACGACTGATGGATTTCGAACACACCAAGTTATAACATTATTTCTTAAACAGAATTTTTAGCAAATAAATAACCCTATCTCAGATGTACTCACAGAACAGATTTTTCATCCAGAAGGTCTGCAGTATTCAAGCAGTTTCAGGCATTTTTATAACAAAAGAAATAACACATAGTCTATTTAAAAACACTATGCACGTATTACCAGCAATTGTTTGAATTGCCAAAATTTTACGCTTAATAATTTGCTAGCAATTACAGTTACTGTTACGCCTGATGGAGCAAAACTCTAGGCAGGCTAAAATGAAAACAAATGCTTTTCTAATTTGAGTAATCAAACATTTAACACTAGAGCACATAAATCTGAAATGGGAAGAACCTACAGCTCCTTATCCTTGTGCACAACTTTTCCTATAATTACACTGTCCAAATAGCATATTGAAAACAACAGCCCTAGGTAACTTGAAGAATTCCAAACTCTACACCTGAATCTTGCAAGCTCTCAGTGCCAACTAAAGGCTTTTTTGCATACTTAGTTATATATGTTCCTTGCATATTATTTTATCAGTTAACAGTGGTTTTATTGCCTTTTGTACCCTGCTTTTGAATAATTTTATAATGGACAGTAAATAATAAATTTTATGTATTATGAATATATAAATAGTTATCTTAATCAGGAAAGGATTGCATCGCAATGTTAGTTTTAATTGACAAGGAATTCTGTGGCACCTTAAAAATGAACAATTTTATTTTTACGCAAGTTCCATGCAGTACAACCATCTTCATCAGATACATGGAGTGTTACTAAGAATTTCAGGTTTTTATACAGGACATACGAATGTAGAGGAAGAATTCTGAAGGGTGAGGTCAGAAGGAAGATAAATGTAGAAAGTACTGACAGTGACAACCATATTCTTAATATTAGCTATTCAATGAACAATTGCTTCTGATAACACAAGCCAAAATAGCATTAAACCTGTCCATGTAATTTAACAAATTAGTCCTGTGTTCTAATCTTACTTTCAAAGTTTTTTTCTCTCCATAGTCTCTTTAATACCAGTTGCACAGAGTCCTGAAACACTGAAGTGTTCTGCCACCACTATCTGTAGATACTGGCCCTATCATTAATACAAAAGGGCATTAATGATAGGTGATGGCATGTATCATATACATGGAAGACAAGCAAGCGTATGTGTCTCTAATGTTCTGAGTGATATTATTGGGTCTGTTAGGGGTGTTACCAGAACAGATATGACACTGAAGTTGGAATCTGGGTTTGTCACAGGGTCTGGTTCCTGTGTCAATAACCTTGTTTTAAACTGTTATTTTTAGTGGTTAGCTATTTTACCTTTTCTGGCTATCTATAAGCAAGTAATCATTATTTTTAGAATTTTTCTGTATTGTCTGAATCTTTTTCTCATTTGCTAATCCATCTTTCTTTCCTTATTAGTTTAACAATAATATCTACTTATCACTCTAGTACCTACTGAACATTAATTTATTTGGAATGAGACCCTGGAAACATCTGTGAAGCAATGCTTGATACAAATCAGGAAATATTATTTAGCATTTTGACTTGGTAATTTTGACTTGGAAATTTTATTTTCCATTTTGACAGCTGAGTTTATTGGTATTACTCACCGGACAGATGACTATCTGCATTTTGTTACATCTATGCTGCCCTAATATCCTGAGCTTCTTTTTAGGTTCAGCATAGACTGGGCATTGGCAGTTATTATCCGGCTTCTATGGACATCTAATATGCATAGCAGCAATTTTAGGGGTCTGACTGGCAAAACGTGTTGAACAGCAGCAGTTTTAGGTTTTGCAGCCGGCTGCTATAAATTACATATACTTGCTTCTATACATGCTCTTCAGTTTTAAACAAATACAGATTGTGAAGGCCTTAAATTGCTAGTACGACTTCTGTGCACAAAATGGTCCTGTAAGGCTACTTTCCAGTTCTCATCACTTGAAAGGAAGGACTACAAAACAAAATGTGAGCTGATTTTTTACTGTGAGTCTGTGAAAAAGGCAGCTTTAGCAGATCTCCAGTGTTTATTTCCATCAACATACCCTAGGAAAAGTCATTTAAGACCATGAATGCTTATTTCTGAAAATGGAAATTGCTTCTAGAAATGAAATAAATAATAATTAATACAATAAATAAAAGACATCTATCTATCTTGAAGCATAGATTACTATCTTACCACTTTGAGAAAACACGTCCAAACAAAGTGCAAGATTGCCCTTCTCACACAGAAAGTTAAAGAAGAGGAAGAAACCAGCAAATTAAAGAAAAAACCTCTGAAAAAACGAGTAAATTAACCTTTCTGAGCCTGAAATGAAATCGCTTACTTTGGCTCTCTGTGGCAAGTTCATCATGGTATCTGCCTTGAAATCATTTTTGTTCTTCCTGCATAGAACAGCTGTGATAATGATGATGATGACTGTGACCACAGCAATGGGAGCCAGCACCGCTGCAATGATCCATAGGTTGTTGGGTGGGTTCTTCACCACAGCTGTATGTATCAAAGCAGAAAGAATACAGGCTTAAAGGCTGCATTATAATGAGTCAGATCCATCATATGGTAGATGAGGGTGGTCCATAGGCCACATGTGACCCCCAAAGCCTTATTCTGCAGCCCTCTTGCTGCTCAGAGCCCCCCATCTGCCTCCCATCTGGACCCCAGTGATGAGACAGGCTTCATGGCAGCAAACTTTCCCGAGTCTGCTGCACATCCCCCGTCTCTTTCTGAGGCTCAAGAAGAGAGTGGATTGGACTGGTGGCCTCACGAAAGCTTGCCCCCACATGCCCTGTGCCTCTCCTGCTAATGACTGCTCAGTTCTTGAGTGCCTTTGCACTCGTCTGCAGAAGCAGGCAGCAGCAGTGGGCAGGACGCACAGAGCAGAGTTCATTAGCTCAAGTACAAGAGGCTCAGTGCACCAATTCCAAGAAGGAAGGAGGGGTGGGGGGGTCACGTGGGAGGCTTTCTGGGTGGGGAAACAAGGAAGAATGGGATGGGCCACCCCAGAAGAGTGGGCATTGTGCTTACCAACTGTGCTTGCCAAATTTGTGTGTTTGGAACTACGGCTCCCAGTTATTAAGCTGCTGCATTCTGCACCAGCTGCAGTTTCTGAACTGTCTTCAAGAGGAGCCCCACATAGAATGTATTGTAGTAATCTAATTTAGAGATTCCCAGAGCACAGATTATAAAAGCTAGGTTATCCCTGTCCAGATACAGGTGCAGCTGGGCCGGCAGTGCCACCTGAACCTCAGGTGACAAAGATGGATCAAGCACCACCCCCATGAAGCACTTGAAGGAAGCCCCCAGAGGTTGAGAGTAATGTCCAGGTAGATCAAAGTTGGAAGAGGTGCTCCTACAGGTATTGTGGTCTCAAGCCACATAGGCTTGAAGATTAAAACCAGCACCTTGAACTGAGCCCAGAAAATGACAGGCAGTCAATGTAGGTGGGGCAGAACTGATTTGATTAATCAAATGTATTCTCTATCAGCTGCAGTTTCTGAATCATCTTCAGGAGCAGCCCAACATAGAGCGTGTACAGTAATCTAATATAGAGATTACCAGACAGTCCCAACTCAGACAGTCACCCTAGAAGGATAACATGGCTGATGGTACCAAAAGCCTCTGAGAGGTCCAGCAGTTATCAACAGAGTCACACTACCTGTCTGGCATAGGTCATCAAACAGGGAGACCTATAATCCATCTCATCCGAGAGTCCCTGGAACTGACGGGCAACCACCTTTTCTAGAACCCTTCCCAGACAAGGAATATTTGCTACCAGCCTGGAATTCTCATAACCATGCATATATTTGCCTATTAAGCCAAATAATTTATTACCCAGAAGCAACTAATGACTTCTAAGTTAAGTAATATGTGGATTTCAGTATTTGGTTACCATCTAAAGCCACACATACAGGCAATTCCAACTGCAATAAATTATTTTCCATTGAAATATCAAGAATGCAAGTGGCATATAAGGGACTATAGTGAAGCACAAATTGCTAATGGTCAAACCATGCCTTCAAACATAAGGTTTGGCACTGAGAAAATGAGACTAGCCTCCTCCAGGTATATCCACTTGCTCCACCTCCTCTTCATTCAGCGTGGTCACAGAGATGAGAAGCTTGATTTAGTGTATTCTTTGATTCATAGACTGTAGCTAATCTTAACTGTAGTGAAACCAAGCCAGCCTCATAAATAATAGTGTGAAGCTGGCTTGTTTCCACTAACTGTAGTTGAAATTACCACAATTTCTTCAAGTTCACATGACATGACAAGCTTCTATTCATCTACAACAAAAGTATACACTTTCAAACTTCTCACAGCCACACAGGAGGGGCAAAGATCCATGAAATCAGCAGGAGGCTAATCTAATGCTAAATTATCATTTAGAGTTACATCTGAACCAGCTCTGTGACCATTTTCTACAAAGATCTACAGGTTTCAGATTAGCCAATATGGTGATGTATACTTATCACCTGGTGAAAACCTAAAAGTTGTCACTGCAAGTTTTACTTTGTAAAAAGATCCATAAATCTAAAGGACTAAGGTGTAAACCAAAATGAAGAACTTCTTTCATTAATTGTTCTGACAAACAGTTTTGACAAGTTTTTTAAAACAATGTCAAAAGCACAAAAAGCTTACAAAATTGAGGTGCAGGGGGCAAATGTTAGGATAATCATTTTAAGCGTATTAGTGGAAACAAAAAGATTTACACTGAATGCACACAACATTAAAAAGGCTAGTGTTTGTTTATTTAACAATCACAAACCTATAGCCACCAGGCTGTCAAGTTTGGTACCTGAGCAGCGGTGGAGGGCAGGGAGGGAAGGAGAGCAGCACCACTGAGTTATGAGGAATCCCATTGCTGCCTCAGCTTCCTTCCTTCCCACTCCAACAGGCCAGTGTGTAGAGGATTTGTACAGAAAGAAGAGTGCAGAGATGAGGTTCATCTCTGTTCTTCCCATAAATGCGTGCAATCCTTTGAGTTTGAAGGGTTACAGGCATTCCCACAGGACAGTGCACTTCAGCTCAATCCACACCCATGGCATTTCCATGCTATACCAAAAATCTTTCAGTGAAATAATTACTGAACATTCTGCTTTTATTCTTACAAATTCTTATTCTTTTTACTTACAAATATGAGATGGGAAACTGCCAGACTATGCCAAGATCTAGATTATCAATCCATTCACTTTGGAAAGAAAAATACTATCATTGACTAGAAACTGGACATTGCCTATGCTGCCATAAGCCTTTAAAGACTCTCACAGTATTCTCCTACCAACATTTAATGTAAACATCAAGTTTACTGCTTTGGGAACAGGCAAAATAGGAAAACTGTTCAGAGTTGAACAAGCGAACTAAGTGAGGATAGCACAGGCGACTTCTACATTCACCACTGTGGCTAACACCATAGCATCAGCAATACATCTCCTCTTAATACAGAACAGTCAATTAGTATGGATGGTGATCCTAGCTATGTATGTGTGCGTGTGCCCAGAAAGCAATTCCATAAGTTATTACTGAAGGTATATATTAATAAAGTACAGGATGTGGTACCCAAGAGATGTGGCTAATCAGCATGTTTTAGAGGTACTGTCCCATAATGAATGAGCTACCATATGGGATCTGCTGGCTGTATTTTTATAAGATGACTCATAATAATTGATAAATTGTTTAAAAGGTAGACAAAAGCTCTGAAAAAAATTCTTACGATCAGCTTGTACTTGAACAACATATCCCAGTGTCAAGGCCATCCTTTGTGAATCGACAGTGCTCAAAATTTTGGCAGCTGTTGTACCCAGTAAAGGTTTCCCATTGTACAAAGTATAGTAAGTCAACTCAGCAGGGTCCTTGGGTCCTGGAATTCGCTGCATTTTTACCATCTTATTGAAGAAAAAACAGAGAGAAAGACCACAAGAAAAGATCATATTCATAATACTTAATAAGCTCACTGCTGTGCCAACAAGATAAAAATTGTATGCAAACAGTCTAGTAAATTAAATAGATATTTCAATTAAAATTGCAGTATAAATAAATGTCCAAAGGAAAACATTTTGTGCAGAAACTCATGACAATGGGAGCCTGCATGTATCCCATGGGTTTGCACAGTAGTCCAACACTTCTCCCATATTTCCATCCTCTAGGTACCTTGCTCATCTCTCCAACAAACAACTCTCCAAGTTACGATAAGTCTATCCCCTATCAAACACTGTCCACAGCAGCCACCAAGATGTACTTTGTAGCACAGCCGATGATATATTTACCCAATAGTGGGTATGCAACTTTGGCTATAGGACTAGGCATGCTTTTTCCAAAATACAACATTCTAAGACTGATACTCTAAAATCTGAATGGGAACTAGAAGAAGAGGGGAAGTCAGAATGCTAAGCAGATTTCTAATACCAAGGCCAGTATGTCCCAAGATAAGTCAAGAGGCTGGTGTTCATTCCCATATCCAGTGCCAGTTCAAAAGAGCAGACCCCTTGAGCAGCATCCAGCATTCCCACCATCTGGCCAACTAGCAGTGTAAATTACCTGAGGGTGTAACTAACTTGATTGGGAAGGGAAGAGAGGAATTTAGTTTGGAACCAGCTTCTTAGCATAAACTATATTTCCCTAAGCTCCAGTATTTTAACTTCACTGTTATCTCTTGTTAATAACTTTGTAATACTCTTCCATAACACAAAGCCAACCTAGCTGGCAAATCTAACATAATAAATGGCACTCAGCAGTCAGATACCTCTTGTCTTGTTCTGCTTGGAAAAAGTGCCAAGAATTTAAAGGAGACCAGCCTCTGGAACCACCTAGATCTCTAGCGCTCTGCATTACTATTTCCAATATACAAAGCCTACTAAAGGAAGAGAACAAGAAAAATGCTAAGGTAAAGAAAACAGAAAAAAAAGTGATAGGGCATTGACCAACTTACAACATTCAGAAAGTGTCAATCAGCATGACAAAACAGAAAAAGACATTGTTCTTGGCAAAATATTTACAATTCGGGATATACTAGTATAGCACAATAAGTTTTTATTGTTTGAAAGCTAAGGAGACAATCCTTCAGTAGACCTTGCATACATGTAGTGTTAACTCATTATATCTATCTCACTACCAATGAGAAGAGGAGAAAATAATTATTTGCAGTATATAATGTTAACTACCAATATTTAAACTGAAATACCATAATTTGTTCTAATTTACACATCTGACAGGAGGTTTCATATGGTTTCTAAATTATGCACAAAGATCTTACATTAAAATGGCAAAAATAAAGGAGAAAATAGCAAAATGTGTCCCCTCTTTCCTCTCTCTCTCTCTCTCTTGTCATCTACCTGCACTGTGTAGCTGCCGACTGTGGTAGCTCGTTTAAATCGTCTTCCTTGTTGATGGGACATCATGAATAGTGGTGCTAAACGTTGTTCCATTAGTCTTGCAAAACTCTGGTTATTCACCCCCAGCAGTGTCATGTCAACTCCCTGTATAACTGTGGGAACAGAGCAATGGAATAAAGGCTATATTAACATTTGGGCTGCAAAGACATATGCAGTGATGCAGCTAAGAGGAATAAATTGGGTCACCAAATCCAACCTCCTTCTTTAAGACTGGTTATCCTAAAGCTGAAACATGCCTGTGAAGAAATTTTTTCTTAAAAACTGCCAAGGAGGCAAGATCTACCAGTTCACCCCAGGGAACAGCTTATTTCAATTTAGTTACTCATAAATAGCAGGAGAAACTTCTAACTGTATCTTAAATTTGCCATTCCATGGCTTAAATCCCTTTCCTTGTTTTAACTGGTTTCCCTCTTCTTTCTAAAGTCTTCCTAAATATCTGAATTATTAACATGCCTCTGTCCTTAAGTTAACAAGCTTACCAAGCTCCTACCACTGTTCTTCACCAATGACAAACCTAGTAAATTTTTTAGTTCGTGTGTGTTTGTGGGTGTGCACGTGCGTGCACGCACACACAAGCACACACTGAATGGGAACTGGAGCTAAAGTCAACCACCACATTATAGAATCCCAAGCACAAACAGCAACAAAAAGGAAAAGACATATTTTGAGTCCTCACTGGCAACTACACCTTGCAGAGATTGGTCTGAGATAGGAAGGAGAGCAAAAGAGCAAGAACACATAAGACTGTTTCTGGGAGTGCTAGAAGACAAGAATCAACAAATGGCAAGGGTAGTAGTTGATATGTTCTGCAGAGAAAGTGAGGAAAACTTGGCCCTGCAAAAAGACTTGATATTTATTCAGGTGAACAGTCAAGACAGAATTAATCAGGTAGCATTACAAAGTACCTGCTTTTTATTTGGGAATCAGAGAAATGCACTCTGTGGAATCACTTCCAGCCAAGACAGAGCATTTACATGCATAACGAATGCTGCATTTCGAGAAAGCTTTAATTCCCCATCAATAAGCATTGCTATTATCATTGGCAAATTGTGACAAGCCCAGTTATACACACAGACAAAGTAACATTATTGTATATTCTTTATTTTTGCAAGCAGTGAGAAGTTTGCGGATAAGAAAAGTGCTATTCAGGTTTATTTTTTCTTTGGAAGAAGACAGCATTTTTGTCATATTTGCTTCATTTGCAAATATGCAAGCAGTACATAAACTATAGCTCTCCTAGAAAGAGGACTTGATACAATATATATCAGATGAGGGGGCCACATTGCTTGTGACAAGAAGTCAATATGGATGAATTTCCTCATGGGGTTTCTTACCACAGAGGCAGCTGTCATTCTAAACATTTGAGCAATACAGTTTGTCATTATATACAGACCTGGCAAGGCTGGATTGTTGGGGTACTTAACAAGCCACCTGCAATTCTAAAACAGCCCATGGGCTCTGGATTGTTTTGTCAACCACCCAAGAACTCATCCCTACCCTGGTTCACAGGAGGCATGCCCCTACCACAGCTCAAATGGCCATCACAGTAAAAGAGTCTCACACAGAAATTTACCCACAGTTTATCATTATGCATAACCCAGAGACAAGGCCCTGTATTACTTAATGTGCCTCCAACATACTAAATCTGCTGTTTTTCCTTTCATCCATTTGCATTTAGTTAGAGGGAACAGAGAGCCAGTGTGGCGCAGTGGTTAAGAATGCAGGATTGGGACTCAAGCAACCTAGTCTCAGTTTGGCCATGGGGCAACTGGGTGACTTGGGGCTAGTCACAGTGTCAGCCTAACCTACCTCACAGGGTTGTTGTTGTGGGGATAAGATTGAGAGAGCAGCAGGAGGAGAATGATATAAGCCAGTTTGCATTCATAAGAAACAGCAGGATAGAAATCAAATAAATAATAAATATTGCCTTTCTTGACTATTAAAATACAGGCTGGGTTCACGTGTCATGCTTAATCACTGTGGGTTAACATGTTGTCCAATCCTAGACAGCTAGTCAAAGCAAAAAATGAAAGAGTACCTTGGCCAGAACATTAAAAATAGTTGCTGCTCTGGCTAAAGGGCTCTAACTGATGACAGCTGGCAAAACATGGCTGCTAGCAGTTTCTCCTGGGCTCCTCATGATACTGGTGGAAGTAGTTCTCCCTCTGGCAAAACAGAACCTGAGGAAACCCAGGGACCCAGGACCCTGGAGCATGTTTGGCAGCATATTTCCTCCTCATATCCCATTCATGAAGGGGAAAACCAGCCACGTGGTCTCACTTCCTTGCTGCAGCAGTGGCCACCGATGGGAACAAGATCATCTGCTTGCCTTCCTTGACAGAAAGGCAAGTGCAGTGGCTTTGCACCCCCAACACCCCCTTCTCAAGCTGCACGGAGTGGGGAAGAGGGAAGGAGGCATCTCCAGTCCTTTTGTCACTTAGCAAAGCTGGTACTTCCCTGAACCCCAGTTCCAGCAGGCAAGGAAGGGGCGTGAACCACCCAGTGCTGCCTTTCTAAATTATTGCATGTTGCTCATCCCTACCACACCAGTGCTTCTGCCATAACACCTTTCCAAGCTGCACTGTTTCTGCTGCTCTCCCTTCTCTGTAGGGGTAAAAAGAGGAAGTAGGGTTGGAGGCATCCCTTCAGAGCAGGTGCACAAGGCAGGTGGCACCAGTGCTTGATCCACCCCACCCCCCAGACCCCAGTCTGGAGGTGTGTACGACAAAGTTCACCTTCCCATCCTTGGGTGATGCACCCATATGCAGTGGTGGGGGAGTGGAGACTGTAGGCCAGGGCAGTGCATTCAGCTTGGCCTCTTGACTGCTGAGCTGTGGTATATCACAGTTGTGTAGCAGGGAAGAAACGCTAGCAACCTTCCTGCTGCTCAGCTGCAGCTTCTGTCACCTTGCACTGGGCTTCTGAGCCCAGGAGGAGGCAGCTCTTCTCTTCTTGCCCCACAACACCCAATTCCCAATCTCCTACCACTGTCAAGAAAGCAGAACTGGCAAGTGGGAAAGCAAATGACAGTGGCCAAAAATGCCAACCCTTGTTGTGGCAACTAATACTGCTAGGGTGGGTTTCTGATACCCGGATACCCCTAGAACAAGCTACGGATCTCAAGATGGTTTGTGTCAGGATGAGGGCCTGACTAACTCTGCAAGTGCTCACAGAACCAGGGGTGCCTTTGTGGGCACTTGCAAGGGGCACCTGTGGAGCAGTTATGCAGTGCAGCTGGAGACCCTGAAGACCAGCACAGAAGGCCTCCCTGCACTGCTGCTCGTTGCCACAGCAACACAAGTGTCCTGGTGACTTCTTGTGCTCTGCCCCCTGCTCCACTATGCCTTGTTCCAGCCCTGCTCCTATTTGTTCCTGCCTTATCCAAGTCTGTTCTTGCCTCACTCCAGCCAGCACTCTTCCTGCTCTTCCTGTCTTCCCTCTGAGTAGGCCCTGCCTTGCTCTAGCCTGCTACAACCCTCGCATCAATGTCTCTCCAATAAACTAACGTTGGATCTCTCTCCCCCCCCCCACTCCCTCCCTCTCTCCCCCTCCCATAGTGAGCTCCGGACTCAGCTCAAGCTCATATCCTGGACCTGGCATTCTGCCCCTCCTCACTGCTGTCCAAGGCCTGGCCCTCACAGTTTGTAAACTATTCCAGCCATCCATCCTCCTTGGGTTCAAATGTAACAACAAGCTGCAACTGGTGAAAGTAGTTATGCTAATGAGGCAGCTCATTATTAATTTGCACAGGCATGGCAAATAAACCACTGCAGCTTATTTTCCCTCCCTGATCATGCAAACAGAATCTCTGATAGTTTGATTCTAACATTTGGATAGTTCGTCTTCTAATTTAGTTCATACAAGATGACAACCCACAGCATATTGTGAGCCTTCTTTGTTTCAGGGTCACTTGACATGACATCTACACCTGGTACAGTTTCCTCAACATGGTTTGTTAACCATGCACAAGCTACCTGTCGGGATCCAGGCTGTTCTGGTGGCCAGCACCGGAACAACTACCACAGTTTTTGCAGGAACCCAGGTCCTGCTGAAGCTCAGTCTCCTAAAGAGTGCCAGCTGGAAGCCCTGGGGGAAGAGTTATACAAGAGCAAATTCTTCCTTCCAGAAGCAGCCTCAGCCATGTAGGTTTTTCCATTTGCTTGCTTTTTGCCCGGCCTATAACTTGCCTCACTGCTTCACCTCAGTAACACAGGTCTTCTTGCTGGCTGTGGTGTGGTTCAGTGCCTGCACCTTGCCTGACACTTGCTACGTTTGGCTCCTGATGTATCCTGCATTGTTGTGTTCCCACAGGGAGCACAGGTTTGCCTGCTAGCAATAATTTAGCTCCTGTGTCTTGCCTGACCCCTTTATCTTGCCTTGCCATAAATCCTTCCTCAAGCTACCTGTACCCTATCTGTCTTCCTGTTCTTGATCCTTGGCTTGCTCACGATCACATTACTGTTCTGTCCAGATACATACTTCTGGTTCCTGACCCTGCCCTGTGACTGTGACTTGAGCTTGCCATTAAATCTTGCTTTTGGACCTTGACTTTGTCCCACCTCAAGCTCTGTTGCCCTGATCCTGATGCCTCTTGTCCCCTGCTGCCCGTGTCTTGACCCTGGATCCTGACACTATCCTAATAACCCATGACTGGCTGCTGCTTTGTTTTCAGACTCATTTGTCATCATATGCAAACCTGGTACAATGGATTAAATAAACTTAAATTTGCCCAAATCTAGCCAGAGTTGAGAAAAAGTAAAATATGCAGAAATCTTCCCAAAGGTGAAAAAAATCTACAAAATAAACTGTACTCTACTAAAAAGCTCACTTGTGCTCATTAGCAGAGTAGGCTGCTAGGGTTGTGCAATAAAGGCCTGATCATTTGGTTATTGAGCAGAGAGATCACCAAAGCTTACTTTAAGGCTGGCTGATAGTGAGGTGAAAATTGATCCACACAAAACTACTCATCTCCCAAAAATTAGATCTTTTAAGGAGGCAACAACCAACAAACCACATTAAGAGCAAGTGATCCACTTGAACTACAAAAGGACTATCAAGTCAAAGCAACTTCTTATACAAAAGCTTCAAATTTAAAAAATGCTACAAATTGATACTGCTATTAGTATACACACTAACCATGAACTACTCATAAATTAGGTGAGCCCAGACAATAGACTACATGAGCATATTTTACCACAGGTGGCAAGTGTAGTATTTCCACAGGAACTATTTAAAAATCCCAAAGCAGAGGAAAGAACACACAAAATGTTCAGGAATAGGCAATCCAAGGAGACAAAGGCAGAAAAAAGTATATATTTGTTGTAAGACAGAAAAAAGTAGACATTTATTTATTCCTAATTATATTTATATTTTGCCCAGCAGCCAAAGCTCCCTGGATGGTAAACAATAAAAATGAAGCACCTTAGCATTACAGCACCTTACATTAAAAACAAAAGAACTTCTAAGTTTCTAGATCCTGATCATTCTATTCTTGCAGTTGGGACTCACACTTTTTAAAATTCTAAAAAGAAAAAAATATCCTTAAACAATAGTTTGACCAACAGTTGCAGAAATCACAAGCCACTGAACATTCTACTGGCCAAGTTCACAAACTGGTAGAAATGGGAAGAGTACTCACAAGCAAGGTGAATCAGTCAGTTGAAAAAACATATCTTTAAAAACGCAAACTTTTACCTGTAATCACCCAATAGTCTCTAGTTGCTTCTGACGTATCAAGATTTGGATATTCCAAAGCTTTGAAATAAAAGGGAAGAAAAAAAAATTAACTCCATAAAAATCAAATACCCAACTTACCTTAAATTTCCCAAGCCATTTTTATAATTCTAAGCAGAGGGACATCACAACTTAATTCAAAGAATATGGTTGCTTCAATTTATTGTTCTCTCATTTCAGACTGATACAAAGAAGGAATTTAGGCTGACAAAATGGAGTCATTTGCATGACCTTCTGCCTCTATGAAAAATATTTGGCCTACATTTTCCTCAGTAATGTTTCCAGCATTCTCTTTCAAGGATGGTCATGAATTCACACCTCATGATTCAATGTTCTTTGCTTGTTCTTATTAGTTGTATATATCTGCACAGTCTGAAGTGAAGGGGCATCCAATACAATTTGAATCACTATATTAATTTACTTCATAATACCTAGTTGTCTAAATAGATCATATTTCCAGAAGTATGCAGCTGCAAAAGCAGCTGCAGCTCCAACCTAAGAATATAAGAACCATGCTAAATCAGACCAGAAGTACATTTAGAAAAATATTCTATCCCCAAAGCGGCCAGGCAACTCCCTGTGGGAAACCTCTAAGACAAAGACCTTCCTGTTCATCTTCCCCAACTAGAGTTTCAAAGCACAGTTCCTCTGATACTGGAGGTATCATAAATCCATTAGCATAAGTCTAGTATCCATAGCATAAATCCATTGCTAAGTCTAGTATCCACTGACAGCCTTGAATGGCTCCAGCTACATCAGCAGTACCATCCCTTCAAATCTACAGCCTGACTGTTTTGTCATACATTAACCTTATTACTAACAATACAAAACAGAAGCAAGTTTTTATTCTTTTTTTCTTTAAATCACAACAATAAATCCAGTTCATTTGACTTAAATAAATAAATCTGTCATCAAAAGGGCAAATTTCACCCTGAAGATCAGGCACCATGAAAATTCAACAGTCCATGTAAATGAAACCTTTTCATGGCTCATCAAAATGCAAAAGATTCCTGACCAAAGCCACACTTATTTTTTGCAAGATGAAACACTAAACATGACCCAGCTCTTTTAACCTTGGCTCTTCGCTCCAGACTCTCTAAGGCTCAGTAAACCCTGACATGAAAAACAAAAAAGTTCTCAGGGTGAGGAACCACTGAGCATTCCATGTGCTATGAATGCATCAAGAGCTTAAAGAAACGATTTAAATGAAGACTGCAGGTTGTCACAAAAATCAGCAGGGGTGTTTCACTGGGTGAGTCGCTATGTTTGTTTGTTTGTTTAAAACATTTGTATGCCATCCAATTGTGCCACAGCAAGTTTCAAGTCTCCAGGTGCTGCTGTTCGGACCATGAAGCAGGAGCAGGGAGATGTAACACAATGGCTCCAGGCCATTTAGCAATTTTGCATATCACAGCTAGGAGAAGAATGGGTTTTCCTTGGGAAGATCATGATGCATGCTCACATTTTAAGATAGGTCTCCTGAAACTGCTGACCAGTATGCAAGATATTACAATACCGAAGTCCCAACACTTAGAATTGCTTTCCTTATGCCTCTAGACTGGCCAGTAAGTCAGATTTCTGCTCATTACTAAATAACTGCAGACAGGCTTAGTGTTTTACAGAGCAGGACATGAAGATTAGTATATATAGAATGAAAGCAGCTTTTTAGGATTTCTGATTTCACAAATTAAGCATGGGAAACTATCCATACATATCCATCAACCCCTTGTTCTGGGTATAGGAAGGAAAAGACCAGTTTGCAGTTACGCATAGAAGAACTTTAAAAGGAAAGTTTGATATAACTGCTACCCAATGAGGAAAAAGAAATCAAAGCAGGATCATGAATGGAAAGTGTTCAAAAAGTGATCTAACATTTGCTTCACAATATATCTTTTTAACAGCATGTGGAGTTATCTAGGATGATGATGATGACTTATTTCATTTCTGTATTACCCCATAGCCAAAGCTGGCAACAGTCCATAAAAATACAATATGGAATCTTAAAATAAAAATAAAATATCAAAAATAAAAATACCAGAAAATACAATAAAATCAGAAAAATAATTTGAAATTTTAAAATAGGTTAAAATTAATGATAAAAACAAGCAATAGCAAATAATATCCAAAGAATGACTCTGTTAGAAACCTGATGATCCCCCTCAAGCCAAGTCAGTGGCCAAGTCAGTCTTTAAATGCCTCAGAAAAGTGGGACATATTAACTAGTACCAAAAATGAGATATGGGGAGTGGGGAGGTTGAGCCATAGATGGGGGGCCACCACCAAGAAAGCCTTCCCCCTTTTTGCCACGCTCCATGCTTCTTTCTACATTGCCACTTGGAGGAAAGCTCCAAAGGTTGGAAGTAGTGTCTGAGTAGATCCTGGTTGGGAGAGGTGCTCTGACAGGTACTGAGATCCCAAGCCATGTAAGGCTGTATATGTTAAAACCAGCACCTTGAATTGGTACTGGAAACATAGAGGCAGCCAAAGCAAGGATGAGACACAGTACCATTTCAAATTGTATGCTTGGAAACATAGTTATTCAAAAGACAAAACAGGAGTCAGCAGGGCTTAACTTGGCTCATCCTCAAGCTGTTTTCACAAACCACATTGTAAAGCAGGAAGTTGAATTCAACAGGTACTGCTCTGCTCTTTGATCCAGCAAAGGCTTTAGTCAACACACTAGAGGGGGTGACAGTATTCAACCTCTCCCCCTGTAGCTCTCCACGCTGCTGTCACACTGTTTGAAAAGGTCCTCCAATCATCTGGAATAAATTTGGGAGAGCATGGAAGGCTTGGGGGGGGGGGATCACTGAAATTGCCCCTCCTTCAGTTGACAATAACTTTGCCTGGCAAGTAACACCAAATGATCACAACCCCCACTGCCTCAAACATACCCACAATTCAACACAAAATTCAGTCTGACCAATGGCACAAATCCTGAAGTACAACCATCAGAACCGTGGTTGAGTATCTCTGAAGACTGAGCCTATGGTCTCTTATTAATTTGCCAGGCACTTACCATTTTAGTTAAGCAACATAGCAACCATGAATAACTAGCAAGCACTGAAAGAATACAACAAATGTCGTCATCTTGAAGGCTTACCTTCAGCAATGGTCAGAGGTGGGTAGGTGAGATAGAATCCCACCAGTTCAGCTGAAAGATGGTTAAGAAGGTTGCTTGATACTGTGCCATTCAATACTGTGCTTTCATTTCTCACCACATAAAACAAAGTGACAGCCTGAGAAACATTTGCTGTATTCAGAATCTGAAACAAAACCCAAGTAAAGAAACAGTAGATAGCTTCATCTTGGCTTTCTGCTTCTTGCACATATTATCACATTAGTGCAAATGACAAAAGGAGAATGTTAATCATGCCGTCATTGTAAAACGCACATGCTTGTGGGTGTTTTAATTCCTTGGCTAGACTGTTCACCTTCGTTACAGAACATAGACAGGAAGGGGAAGAAAAATTATGTTCCAGGGACAGCTTGCATTACATGAGACAGTGTTTCACTAATCTGTCTGGATCTGTAGGTCTTTTCTACACCTCCCACCAAAGGGTCGTGCTGGGATAAAAGGTATCTTCCTCATCTCACCCTTGACAAACCAGGAGTTCTTTTTTGGACAAAAATAAAGGATATATCTGCCTTACATCCTCCTAAAGTGCTGTAAAATCAGTTTTCTTACATATCTGTCACCTGCTTCTTCCTAGCTTAGAAGCACTTCACAGCAGCACTATATTGGGTTGTTCAGATATACCTGGGCTGGGAAAGCCAGGGCTGGGAAAGTCAGAAATATTGCTGATTTTCCACCATTGTAGAAAGTGCTGCTCTCTTTTTAAATGATGAGAACATACTGTGATTCCATCTGTTTTATAGTTATTCCCCATGTATCAAATGTACAAGATTAACAACTGTACAAAGTATAAGGAAAGGGTAGAGGTAACCCTCCAATTTTCATATTTTAAACCAGAGGTGCAGGACCTCTTTCAGCTAAAGATCTGCCTTTCCTTTCAGAAAAGCTCTCAGGGCCTGCATTTCAGTGGTGTGCAGGACACAAGGTAAAAGGGGTGCAACTAACATACCAGTTTATCCTAGCTTAAAGTTCTTATTGACAAGAAAGTAAGCCTTAGATTTGTTTCAACCTTTTAGAAAGGCGAAAAAACTGCTATGAAAGCCAAGAAACCATCAAACAATTGTTAGTTGTGGGTCAGGGAGTGAAGCCAGGAAAGGGTGCTTGGCCTTCTGACAAATGCTGCAGGGCCACATCGCAGTCCCAGGGGCACAGATTTAGCCTGCAGGCCTGAGGTTTTGCAACCTGCTTTAAATAGAATAATAAAGAAGTGGGAAAAGGAATGGGTAGGAAAGATTAAAAAGACATGACACATTCCATGCACAGGTGAGTCACGATATTCAATATACAGGACTTCTATTATCAACACAAATTTCTGAAGTGTGGTAAACTGAAGTGGAGACATGTGCCTGTCTTCAAGCCAGTGCCATTTTCAACAAAGTAATGCCATGCCCACACAGATTCCCAGATGCTTACGGAGCAGATTATGCAGGTCAAACGCACGTGCATTCAATTTGCACTGACCTGCAGCAAATATCTATGGCAGACAAAGCCTCCATCTTTTTTGATGTTCATAGGAAAAGCAAAAGAGCAAGAATTACTCTTCTTCATCTTTGTTATGTGAAAAAGTGCCTAAAATATACTAGGCACTGAACATAAATGAAAAAATACAGGTCCTTGCCCACAGGGTCATCATCTAAATATTTTTAAGAATTAAAAAACTGAATTGCTACATTGCATTTATACTTGGCCTTTTTCCTCTTGTGAGGAACACAGGGGGGCTTAGATAGCTCCATTTCATTCCCACAACAACAATCCTGTGAGGAAGGTTGGTCTGAGAACAGATGGCCCAAAGTTCATGGCTGAATGGGACTAGAATCTTGCTCTTCTAGGTCAACAGTCCAGCACTCTTAATCACTACTATACTGACTCTACAAAATATTTTGTAAAATTAAATTGAAAAAGTATTACCACTATGATGAAAAGAAGCCATAAATAAAGTAGACCTGTATAGATTGGGTTGATATGCGAGTCAGAAGTGGGTTGGACTGCCTTCAAATACTGCAACACACCAACCAAGTACAGGTCTACTTTCTTTAAGTCAGATGCAACACACCAACCAAGTACAGCAACCTTTACAGCCCTCTTAAATCTCCTGTTTTCACTGTTTGTATAGAACTGCAAACACAGAGGGGGAATGCTTGAAACAATATAATGGAGCCTTTCATAACGTGATGACCTCCAGATGTGTTAGACAGCAACTCTCATAATTCCCATCCGGCCTGGACAGAGACTAGGGAAGTTACATAATAAACAGTTGGTAGCCTGTGTGTTACCTGGTAGGATATAAGTCACACATACCAGATATGTAATAAGGTTCGAAGAGATTCATAATAATTTCCAAAAATACATTTTGACACATATAGGCACTGCTAGTACTTTCCACTCAATTATGAAATATTGGACAAATCTGAGGCAACTATTACTTTGGGTACAAGGTAAGCGGTATATCAAATGAAAGAACTGCTAGGGCTGAAATGAAAGAAATTTTGGTATGACTCCCTGATCTACTAAGTCTATACACATGCACACATGTGCATGTATGCACACAAAAAAGATTACTACACATATGTCTCCTGTTGCGCAGAAAGCAACATCTGGAAGGGCTTACATTTTGATTACATTTGATGTATATAAATTTAATGCATTACTTTTTACTGTATTTTTCAACTTCTAGGAAAAGCAAAAGATCTTAATTTCAGTAAGCAAGATGTATCCTTTTTCAGGGAATATGTTGTGTACAAATTCAACTTAATCTATACGGAGTGTATATAACCAGTATTTGGTCAAAAGCAGATTCATGCCGATCATCAATTTTAGGGGCTTTATGTGAGAACGACAGCTAATGCAGCCTTAAGAATCATGGACCTGTTAACAAATAGCAAAGATAAAACATTTTTGTATTGGTCATCCAGTTACACTGATAATAACATGATTTAATATGAGCACAACAAAGAATTATCACATTGTCATAATAGTTAACTATTAGACAATTCTGATGATGATATAAGAACTTTTACCTGAACAGTTAACTTGCTACTGGTGTTCAAGACTTTTCTCTCAGCATCCTGAAATGCTTTTTGCAATCTTTGTTCCATGGTCTGAACAAATCTGCATGACTGGATGTTGTCTGATTGACCCATAAACTGCAGTTCTAGATGAAGAATAGCCAGTGTTGATAGTATGTATTTTCTTTCTTATTTTTCAAATGCTGCAATCCTTACCTGGGCGTAAGTTGCACTGAACTCAAAAGGACTTATTCTGAATAATCATGCACAGGATTGTTAACATTGCAAATGACTCTCACAATCTAGCACAGGAAATTAGCTAGTAAGTTGCATTAATTAAATGGTAATCAGATAGAACATTTTCTTTTTCAGCAGGTACTCATAAATACATAAAACTATTCAAGAAAACGAAACAATTTAAAGACCCTTTTTGCTCAGTTTATGTAGAAAATTATTGGAATGTACATAGCAAAGTCAAATACTATCACCTTCACACTTCATTATATATAAACAAAACACCTTCATGCTTCAATATATAAACAAAGCACAACACGCACATCTGTAACAGGCAATTGAAATGTTAGTACCCAACTAGGGAATTCTTTCCAATAAAAAAGAGAGAGAGAGATCATCCCTGTGATGCTAAGTGGTTTGTGGCCATTAAATCACTTTTCACCAAGTACAGTAATCTATAATAATTCCAGCCCCACTTTGACTCAGAAATTCTTATCACTTGTGAAATAATGTAGTAAATTATCTGCAATTTATTGAAGCACCTCTGGTCTCATATGTAGCACCTTGGTAGAAGGTGGCTACCTGCTCTTGCAGCCTGATCACACTTCACATTATGTAAAAGATGTAACATGGAGCTTCTTGTGAATGTTTTTGTTTACTCCACATAAAACACAGTTAAATTGGTTCAAATTAGAAGTGTGGCACATGCAAAAAGGAGATTTAGTCTATTCCTTCCCATCAATGTTCTGCCTCTGTCACATTGCTGGTAGAGATGGTTTAATAATAAAATAACACTAAAACAACCACAACCACCCCTCCCATTGCTGTCATTACCATATCAAATCCCCACCCACCCAATCTGCATGTTACAGGCCCTACCTGAATTGAAGCCCCACAAGGTAACTTCTGAATAAATAAAAACCACATAGGGAACTGCACATTCTATATTAAATGTATCATGCAGTCTATCCCTAAGATACAGCTTTGCTCAATGGTCATCAGGAAACATTTTGAAATACACTGACTAGTCATATCCTATATTACTCCTTACAAAAAGGCAGTTGTGACAACATGGGTTTCCCAAAAGCATTTGAAGACTCAATCAATTCCTTCTCCAGCAGAGAGAAAGAGGCAGGGCTATTCCATCAATTCTGCTGAGAGACCAGGTATATTTGGCTCCTCCTCTCCTTGTTCCAATCTGCTCCAATCCGAGCTGTTCCTCCCAAGACCCCATGCCTGAATTTACCGTTTCCTTCCTCCCTGCCCATCTCTTGATCTTTTTGTGTTGGGTCTTTTAAATTGTAAACCTAAGTATGTGGCAGCTCTCTTACTTCTGTTATTGATATGTAAGTCACTTTGGGAGCCCTTTCACCTGAAGGGTGGGATAGCAATGCTTGAAATTGATTCCTGTTCATCAACATGAATAGTATGCAAAGCATGTTAAGAGACATTCATGCTAAACTTCCCCATGAGAGGCAGAAGATGAAAATCTCTGCAATGCATGCTTTGACAAAGGTCAAATACTACTTTTGGTCAAACACAACATTTAAAAGATTACTTGGCTAAATTAATCAATTAAAAATGATGATCAACTATAAGAGGTGGCTTGGTAGGTTAGGCAACACAGCTGGGACAAATGGGAATGGCAGGCAAGTACCTGGAGGGTACCAGGTTGCAGAAAACTGTTTCCTTCTCCCTCTCAGTCCCCTTTCCTTTTGTGTCATGTCTTATATACTGTCTTATTTCTTATCTTTGTAAAGCACTTTGGCAACCTTTGTAAACAACTATGGCAAAGGTTAGATAAAAAATGTATATGTACAATAATAAAATGGAACAAAAACTGTTGTTATACATGTAAAATTACAATGTCTTTTGCTTCAGACTCTAACTAACTAATGAAGTTTGCTTACGTTTATTGACAAAAAAATCACTGAAACAGCTTGGATTTCTTTATTACCAAGTAAGAAGCCGAACTATTTTATCATCCAAAATATTGTTGGGTCCAATGGAAATGTCAGAATTTTTACACTAAAGATTTAAAAGAAGCAGATAACATAAATGAAGTATGTGTGTGGGGGGGAGGGGGGTCCATTCCTGATCACTGGACTTTGTGGCTGAGCTGATTATACACTGCCTTGCCATCTCAAAGACTTACCTGTTTTTAGCTGAAAGTGGTAAGCTGGCAGTGGATTCCATGGCAATGCTAAGACAGCAACAGAATGAAGATTTGGCACATACTGCCTAATATCCGAAGTGGCATTAGTAACACCATAAGCAATTAGCATTTCGATAACCACAGCAGGTATGAAAACAAGTCTTTCCTGAGTTACATAGTAACCAACTGTCACATTGTTTGATTGTTCCAAAATTTCAATCTGAAAAAGCACATTTCAAAAAAATTAATGTAAATTTCACACTTCATCTTCTTTAATAATTTCAATTCAGATTCTTTAGAATTCTGTAATGAGAAGCTTGTAGTAAGCTGCATGAATAACACTGCTGTCTAGTTAAATAGCAAGTCTTATAAATTGTTATCCACAGAAGCTATTAAGTTTGCAACACAGGTATTCCACTGAGTCTCCAACCTACAAATGTTTATTGGTGCAATTTCTCTCTTTCCCAAACATCAGTTTTCCTGACCATAAAATTTTAAATACCTTTGAAGAAGATTGTTTGGTTAAATTATTAGACTAGGTGAAGAATAACCTCAAAATCAAAATACCCCCATTCATACTTGAATTACCCCTAAGAATAAAATTCTATATATGTTTAGGAAACTTATGGTGGTACAATTTCCAGCATGTCCTAGCAAGAATCATTTGAAGGAAAAAAACGGAGAGTTTAGGACCCCTTTTCCATCTAAACATGCGTTGAATTGCACAGTAAATCTGTCCTATCTATGAAAACTCTCCTTGTTCATGTGCAGCATATTTCAGAGCCTTATTACTATCTTTTAGCTATTTCACCAACCTCTTTACAAACCTCTGAAATCTCAAAGTATTCCAAGCTACATGGATGATACTGACTGTGGCCTAGCTATAGAAGAACTTGTTGCTGTTCCTGTTTGTTATTCACTAGGTTCTGTAATTGTGAAGTTTACATCAATTAATATGCCCTTGAGGAAGGAAACTTGCTACAACCATGTACGTTCTACTGCAAGCAAGAAACAAGACCCCATAGCTTGGCTTCCATGACAGGACAATGTTTTGGTTGCCCTGTGAGATGACCTTTGCCAGGAAAAAGACAGAACAAGTGCAACCCTGTTGATTCTCCTCAACCTCTCAGCAGCTTTTCATACCATCAACCATGGTATCCTTCCATACCAGCTTGCTGGGCTGGCAGCTGAAGCCACCGCATTGCGCTGGCTCTGCTCCTACCTGACAGACTGTCATCAATATGCTAATGACACTCAGCTCTCCTCCTCATTTTCATCTGACTCAGGAGTGGTAATCTCTACCCTCAATTGGTGTCAGGACTCAGTAATCGGTTGGATGAAAACCAATATATTCATGATAAGACAGAACTACTGCTAATGAGTAAACCCCCATTTCAATTGGGAGATTGCAAACCTCTCCTGGACAGGTTTGCACTTCTGCTAAATGACAAGGTTCATAGTTTGGGGATGCTCCTGGACCCCAAGCTTTCCCTGGTTGCCCCGGTAGACCCAGTAGCATCTTGTTTCAACTTTGGCTGATTTACCAACTATGCTCCTACTTGGATGAGGCTAGTCTTGCCACATTCATTCATTCAATGATTTATTTATTCAATTTATAAGCCACCCCACTAGTTGTAGGCTCTCTGGGCAGCTTACGTCATATTAAAATCCATAGACAGCATAAAATAGTACAAAACACCACATGACAATGCACAATTACAAAAGACCAATAACAGTTAATTCATACATAAGCTATCAAAATTAAATTAAATAAAAATAGAAAAAATAATAGACTATATAAAAACTCCAAAAATAAGACAAAAGCCATTAAAATTTAGTTGCATAAATATCTAGCATTAAAAAAATATTGGCAGCAGCACTTAGTAACAGATTGAATTGTCAATTTCAATGAATTGAGATTGAAACATCATTGAAAATTAAGAATTCACCTATTACAATAACTGTGGAACAAGACGGTCTTCAGTTGGTGCCTGAGGCAGCAACTGGACCTCCAATAGAATCGAGTTCCAAAGTTGGGATGCTGTACCTGAAAAAGCTCTTCTCCATGCAAACCTCCTCAGTTCATTAGGGGGAGGAATGCAGAGAAGAGCTTCAGATGAAGAACACAGTGACTGTGCATGTATCTATGGAGAAATGCACTCCCTCAGTTAACTTGCCCCAAGCCATTTAGGGCTCTATATGTTATTGTAAGCATTTTGAATTGGGCCCAGATGGCAAACAGCGGCCAATGTAGCCTGCATAGGTCCAGCGTGATATGCTCACGAATGCCAGTTCTACTCAGCAGGTATGCTGCCCAATTTTGGACAAGTTGCAAGGTCCAGATCATTTTCAAAGGCAGCCCCACATAGGGCATATTACAGTAATCCAAGCAGGATGTTAACAGTGCATGGAAGACCATGGCAAGATGGAGTTCCATGACACAAAGGCCACGGCACAGCACAATAGTCTCCCAGCACCACCATCTGGAGACAGGTAGGAGCTGAACCACTGCAAGGCAGTGCCCCCAGCTCCCAACCTGGCCAAGCTCTCCAGAAGGATACCATGCTCAATGGTATCGAAAGCCACTGAGAGGTCCAAGTGAATCAACTGGGTTGCACTCCCTGTCTCCCCCAGCAGAGGTCATCCCACAGGGCAACCTTGGCAGTTTCTATTGCAAAACCAGGCTTAAAGCCTGATTGAAATGTGTTTGCTTGATCACTTTGCCCAAAAGGGAGATGTTGGCAATTGGTTGGAAGTTGCTCATGTCAGCTGGGTACAGGGCAGGTTTCTTAAGGAGTGGTGCAATAGCCACTGTTTTAAAAGTGGAAGGTACCACTCCTCTCTAAAAGAGGCATTAACAACAATTCATGTGCTGATAATCTGCACACTGGATTACACTGTATCTGAGGCTTCACTTGAAAACAGTCCAGACTCTTTAAATGATCCGGAACAGGGCAGCACAGCTGCAGACACAGACCAGTTCTTATGAACATATTACACCTGCCCTCCTTTGGCTACACTGGCTTCCTGTTCCTGTCCAGGCTGAATTTAAGGTTTTAACTATGACATACAAAGCCCTAAACAGTTTGGGACCACAGCAGCTTAGGGAGTGCCTTACTCCATATATTCTTGCTCATTGTTTAAGATCTGCAACTGGGGCCCTCCTACAAGTTCCTCTCCCCAAGGATGTTAAAGGGGAGGCTGCATTTCAGTCTCCGTGGCCCTTAATGGACTCTTGACTTTTTCTAAGATCCAAGAGTAGCTGTGTGCTTCATCAGAACCAAATATTTCCTAATGTTCCTTCAGCGATTTAGAAAGCCACAGAACTTCTCCCAAGCCCACCTTATGCAAATAATAATTTGCCAGTTAAATAAACTTTAGCACCTTCCTACATTTTTTTTGCTTCTACTGACTGGAAATATTTTCGGCACTCCACCAAACATCATCAATAGATCATAAATATTCCGTAACCCACCTAGAGAGCCATTTTGACAAATGGGAAGGATAGAAATTTAATAAATAAATAAATAAATATCCTGAATTAAGTTACTTAAGTGTTCAAAATTTTGTTTGAGCCTGGTTATGCACATATGCATACTCAAGCCTTTATGATATTGAATAAAGGCTGGCTGGCTGGCTGGCTGGCTTTCATTCTTTGTTTGTTCTCTCCCTCAGCTACAAGAACCAACCTTACTAAAATTAGAGATCTTGGCCTTTTAGATCTGGATGACAAACATGGTAATTTTGCTGTTCCGCCACTATTTTCTTCTATGATTACAGTATAAAACATATGCATTTCCTAGAATTAAACCTAGAATTTTCTTAACATTCTCATGCCTTTTCAGTTTCTTAACACTCAGGATCTATCTCTATCCATACTTACACTAGATAACCTTTCATTCCATGTAATTAAGATGGACAGTGATTAATGTGCTCCAAATCTCTGTCCACCATTTTTTCTCTGCCAAAGTTGTTTTCTACCAGCAGCGATTTTAAACTTTGCAGAAACCAATCTGACAGGCAAACTAGAGGATAGCTTAACACACTGACAGGCTTTTACTGGGCTGCTTGGTTGATTTGATAAGCTATGGAAGAACTGATCCCAGTTCCCCTATTTCAGATGTCTCTGAGGCTTGCTAACACTAGCTATCTCCCCACAAGGTAACTGACAATATATAGCAACTGGAATCCATTGAAATCATGTTTACATTCTCAATTTGAAGGCACAGTATTTTTCCAATAGGACAGCCGGTCATTACTACAAAATGCCCAGATTTTTTTTAATCTGAAAGCTTCTGTCCTGGACTGCACCAAAATCAAACAAATAAATTCTACAGGCAACTGGCATACTAAAAGAGAGAAAGAGAATATAAACTTAAAACTGATATTAAAGTCATTTTTCTTCATTTTGACCTAAAGTATAGAAACATTATTTTTCAAGTGTCATGAACCTGACTATAAATGACAAATAGAAATACTATCTGCTCATATAACTCTCTGTACAGCTTTAGGCTGTTACCCCATCAGCATCATACTGGCATTCCAAAAAAACTTTAAAAAAGCTAAAAAAAAACCAAAACCCTCCACAAATCAAATACAGACACAGGAAAGAAAAAGTGAGAAAGAGATTCCATAAAAAAAGAAACAAGCAAACTGAAGAATGTGCTATTTCAAATATTCAGTTGAGATGACAACATAATGTATTTATGCATTACATTCATATCCTACCCTTTTTCTTTCCAAGGACCTCAAGGTGGCTTACATAATTCTCCTCCCCTCGTCTTGTCCTCACAACAACAACCCTGTGAAGTAGGTTAAGCTGAGAGTTTGTGACTGGCCCAAAGTCACCCAGTTAGTTCCATGGCTGAGTGGGGGCCTGCAATGTTAAGCACTACACCATGATGGCTCTCATTTTAACATCAGTTTTAGTTCTTAAATTAACAAAATACCACAATGAGTCAGTAGTATGCTCCACTGCATTTGCCATCAGCATAGCTCTTATCCAAGCAGCCTCAAATCTCTTCCCTGCCCCTCAGAACACCCCCTTTACCTGCACTCTAAGGCTGCGTTCCCCACCTTGGAAAGCCAGCACATGCAGTTCTTTCCATGGCAATGGAGGAGAAGAGAAGGGAGAATGAAACACGGAGTTCCAGCTCCAAAGCTGGAGCTCTGACTCCAACTTCAGATCTGGGAAACTCCGTTATGATCCACCCAGAGAAGATGTCTAAGGAGCCACAGGTTCGCTATCCCTATCACTTTATTTATTTTCAAGATTTATAATAGCCACATGGCTCTCTAGATGGTTTACAGCAATTAAAATACAGTAAACAAAACATTTCAGTCATAACTAAGATATACATTAGAAATACTCAGTTAAATTTCTAATAATGATGATGGAGTGCGCGCATGCAAGTTTCTGGAAGAAAGGAAGGCAGGAAGGCAAATCCAAAAATGTTGTTGGATTATCAATATTCTACACTATAATTGCTTTATACAGATGCAATACTGTGTATGTTTAGACAGAACAAAAACATCCTACAGCTCACTGCTTTCTCCAGAGAGGAAGTTCTAGGAGCTTTTTCTGTCTAAATATGCAAAGCATTACACCCTAAATGCATTTTAATTTTTCTCTGTGGATAACATCCTAGCAATTGGCAACATAAATAGAAAACGCACACACAGATTAAATTCTACCCATATATGTTTCCATCAGTTGTCCCCATTTTCACAAATAATAAAGGATTAAAAAAAAAACAAACTTTTGACATAGCATGATATACAAGGAATCTGTATGCAAAGATGTCAAGATTCTAATAGCTTGAAATAGAAAAATGCAGTTTCAAACAGTTATTTTTCATGTCTGTGGATGAAAATGTTTCTGGCAACTCTGTACATTCCCAATGCAGTGCAAATACACACAATTTCTTTCAGTTTGGCATGCATTCTTAATTTGATTATAAAACACAGGCTAAACTTGCTTACTTGCGCATTGACATTTTGGTTGAAAGCTTGTCTCAATGCCTGGGTGAGACCTTTTGTGACATTCTGTTTTAAGGAATCACTCGGCACCAATCTTCTTGTATTCAGAAACAAAACTAGAATGCAAAGTTATATGTAAGTTTAAAAACATGTACTGCTCATTTTCTTAATACTTCTTTTCAATAATATAATAACTGGTCACATGGGCTCTGAGAAGAAGTTGTATTCTGCAAATGAACTTACCCTCAGGACTAAAACCAATAGGGAAAAGGCTATTATTGGAAATTAAAGACCATTAATCACTTGCTACTTAAAATGCATACAAGGAATGATGAGTCATAATAACCACGCCTCTCTTCTCAGGGAAGATTATCTGGAGATAGATTAGGGAATTATTTTAACGTTACAAATGCTTTACTGACACTTGTGGCTCAGAGATACTAACTTACAAGAATCTGAAAAGCAGACTGTTAAAAGCAAATCAGCATCCCTATATTGTAAAATAGAAGTATTTACGTATGCATTATTAGCTTCACTGTGCTATGCATGTAAAAATAAATCCAGACATTAAAACTGCATTAGTAATGAATGGGACAGGAAGACACAAAAGACTGGGTTTCTGATGGCATACATTTACTGTCCTGATAAAACATTTTTGACCACATATTGGGTATTCTACACAAATACTTATCTCCAAGTCCCATGCTCTGACATCCTAGTGAAAGAAGTCCAGACCCGATTCAAAGGGCTGGTGCTAACATTTAATGCCCTAAACAGCTTGGGATCAAGTTATCTGAAGGAACGCCTCCTCCCCTATGTACCTATTTGGTCCCTAAGGTAATATTTTGGGGTCCTTCTCAAGAGCCGACTCTAACAGACGTAAAGAGGGTGGCAACCAGGAGAAAGGCCTTCTTTGTGGTGGCACCCCATCTATGAAATGAACTCCCAAACAAGGTACACCTGGCACAGGGTGAAAAACTTTTTATTTACCAGGTATTTTAATAGCTGAAAGGCTTTAATGTTGCACTGTACTTTTATCTGCTGCCGTGCTTCTTCCACAACTTCGTTGTGGCCATTATTCTATTGATTGGTTTGAATAGCTTATAGGTTTATTGCTTTTGTTGATGGTGATAGCAGTTCGTTATTATTATTTTCTTTTAACCACCCAGAGAGCCTTTTGAGCTGAAAGACACAGAGAGACTTGTCTCAAGAGCAGACTTTCCAGGTGGGCCAGCATCCTCTGGGAATAACCAAATTAGCAGGAGACTTGGAACAGGGGAGTTTCTCAGGGACAGAAGAGGTGGGTACAGCTCTTGACCCCATGACATGACATCAACGACCCAGTTAAAGAATCAGTGAGCAGAGAGGAGGCGTGCTCATTTTCAGAAGGCCCCTCTCAAAAGGTTGGGGCCCAAGCATGCTTATAAGGAGAGTTCCTGGAGGTGAATACTAGATTGGTTTTAACAAACTGCTCTGTGCATGCTCAGAGATTCTTTCTGGTTATTTATGCTTCTAGAAAATGCCTGATCAATAAAGAATATTTTGCAATGGCTTTGAATGTGTGAAGGGAGAAAAACTAGATCATGACAGCTGCTACCAAAACATACAGAATGGCATGCCAAATTTGTTCAAGAGTTTGTACAGTACAAGGAAATGCTCTCAACATTAACAAGTTTTTGTGAGATATAACTCAAACTACCATTGCTCTGTATTTAGAAAGTTACCCAACAGACCATGTGCAAAACTATACAAAAAGAAGCGGAAATCTTAAAAATATTCACATGAAAGTTCTAGTTTTTAGCAAATCGCTTCTTGTCATGAGAAGCCCATAAATGGACAAGCCCTCAGAGGAAGGGGACTTTTCTATTGTTGGTCCCACTATCTACAGGGTTCCAATTAAGTCTAAAACTAGCATCACCCCCTGAGACCACTATCCAGAAAAATACCTGCTTTAAGAGTTCACAGCTTTATTTATTATTTATTCACATACTTATATGCTGCCTATAACTGCCAAAATGGCCTTCCTAGGCGGCTCACACAATAAGGTACAGGCCCCATGCCTCAGCTCAATCCTTCCAAAATTATTACAGAAGAAGAGGCTGGCACAAGGTCAGAACTGATGGCTAAGTGCCCATCTGGAAGTATAAGACCTTCCAGCCCTGAGATCAACTTGTGAGAAGGAATGCACACTTTTCATGTGATTCAGATCAAGACCCTGATACATACTAGGAAGGGGCAGGGCTGAAGAACATACTACAAAGCTGGTAACCTTTGCTGAATACCACCTTATGTTACTATGCTTTCTGTGACAGCTCCCTTTCTACCTAGAACAGCTTGATTCCCGACTCACTAGGCAGTTTCCTGGCAAGACAGACTTTTTAAACACTTGGCATTGATGGATAGGATAGGACAGGAGTGAGATATATTACTGTGTACTATGCAATATGACTATCTATAGTCATTCACTGGATTCCTTGTGTTATTTTTTATTAAGCTATTTTTTTCAAAGCCTACCTGACATGTATATTGTTTTCATTATCAAAAGCAATACTTCACAACAGAACCTCTATACATTCATACCTGTCTTAATAAAGAGGTTTCTGGAGAGCTGGCATTCCAAAGGAAGAACTGTTGTCGCATTAGCAAAAGCAGCTGTTGACACTGGCGTAGCAGAAGAAGTATTTTCCGCAGGTGTAGGGAGAAGTCTAGTTGTTTTCGCTGATGCTGTAATAGATGTCAAAGCTGCTGTAATTGTCAGTGGGTATGCAGTTGATGTTTTAGTGATGTCTGGGCTTGTGGATTTCTTGGTGTCAAGTAGTGTTGTTTCAGATTGTCCTGTTGCATGTGTTGTGGGAGCTGAAACTGTACTAGATTTGGGGACTGGAAATGAACTAGTGGTATGCACAGTTGTTGTAGACTCATCTCTTGAAACAACTGGAAAGGCTGTACGTGTCACTATTGGGCTTAAAGTTGATGCCATTTTGGGGGCAGTGTGATTTTTTGCTAGTGTTGATATTAACGTGCTTAATGCCATCACAGATGGCGAATTTTCTGTGCTCAGTGAGAACAAGGATGAGGTCAGCATTGGTGATGTTGGAGCTGATTTTCCTGTAACTGGTGTTGCTTCTGAAGTTGCTACAGATGGTATTACACCAGGAGACACAGACGGTAACACTGTAATGACAGAATGGGTAAAGTTGGTTGTTGGCAACAAAGAAGTTAGTTGTGTTTGTGATGCATGGACAGAGGTTATGATGGCTGCGTTAGTGGTATTTGTTGGCAATGGAGTGATCTTAGTGGAATTAGGCACTTTAACTGTATCTAGGATATCACTTCCGCCTTTTGTATACCACCCTTCTGTACTTAATGTTGTTGGCTGCTCATTACTTTTTGTTCCTGAGTCAGGGTTATTTGAAAACTGTTTTGTTTTACCCGAAGTTGTGTGTTCTTCAACAATATTTAACATTGGTGTAGAGCTTAGCAATTCATGTACCACAATGGAAGAGACTGTTGTTTTCTTACCACTAACAGCACTAATTTCCGGTTTGACTGGAACAGATAATCTAGCAATGAACTGAGAAGCCAGTGATAATGTAGGTGAAGCCGCATTCAATGAATTTGTTGATGCAGGGAGATCTTCAGAATTAGTTGTTTGAGACTTCAACATAGTCTCAGATTTGGCATAAGAAGTAAAAGGCCATGAGTGAGAATATGTTGATGAAGTTGGGGGAAATGAATCCATGCCAATAGATGCTTTTGTAAGAGCAGGTGTGAAATCCTTAGACATAGTATGAGATTCTGGGCTAAATTCTGTCAAACTTCTAGACTTCATCCCACTGAAAGCTGAAGTTGAAACATTCTGAATAGATGTTACAGATATATCAACAGAAGATGATGCTGAGCTAGAAGGTGTCTGATTATGAACATAATTTGTTTGTTGCTGTAGACCTGGAACCATTCTTAAAGTGGTAGAGTCTGCATAATGCTTTGCAGCTTGGGACATGAGAGCTGGTTGCTTTCCTGATGAAACACTAAGAACAGCAGAGGGCTGCAAATCTCTGACCCACTCAGAGACTAAAGCTGTAGTTTTAAAAATCTTGCCAGTGTTTGAAGTATCTATGATACCTTTTGACACAGCATTTGAAGTACCTAGAGAAGCTGGCCTCTGGCTTTCCAAGCGTCCTGCTGCTGGAGCAAATGAGGGCAATACATGTAAGTCTAGAGTTGCAGTAGTGGTCCTATCGGATGGATCAGGCATATGGAAATTTCCATGCAGTTCAGTATCAGATTTATTTAAAGTTAAATAAGACAAAAGTTCTGCCTGCTGTGTCACAGCAGAAGATGCCTTTGTATTCCCACCCTTCTCTTCTGTTAGACTAAGAGATGGGCTTTGTTCACTAAAATCTGTTAGCCACAAATTTCTGGAATTGTTAGATGAAGATATAAAAGTGGCAGTGGAGTGTGGTTGCAGAAGGCCTTTATGGGAAGTCGGCAAAGATACAGAAAACGCAGCAGAACTGGTTCTTTCTAGTGACAACATTTTATCAAGCATTATTCTCCATGGTGTTTGCTTGCTGACAGGAAGTTCTAAAGTAAAGTTTGTAGTTTGGGACCATGGAGACTGAGAAGGAAGAACACTGCTAGCATCAACATTTGTAAACACGGTTGCTGTACTATCTTTCATGACAACCCGACGCTGTAATGACCTCATCAAGGAATAATCAGGAAGCAATAAGGCAGGTTCATAATGTAATGAAGGTATGGATTCATAAGCTATATCAGAATTATCTTTTGTGGAAACCCAATTGGTTGGTTCTGTGACATGAGAATTTGTTAAATGAATCTTGGAGCTACTTTTATCACTTGGTGCTGAGACAGTAGCATCTGCTATTCTATCGAAATTCTTATTTAGCCTAACTGTTAAGGAAGTGACTTCATCTGCTGAGTAGGAAACTGGTATATTTGTAGATGCTGGTGCTTGAGCTAGTGCATTACTTGTGCTTATTGCCTCAGGAATACTTACAGTTGGCACTGCTGGGGAAGACATATCTGTCACCAAATGCAGAGGTTTTGGACTTTCAAAATCTGATAATAAAGCCCTTTCTTTGGTGGAGCTTGATGGAGATGCAGAAGGCAAATCAGTAATCATTTTCAAGAATGCAGATGGAATACCTGATGTATGGAAAGCGGATGTAGAAATCCAAGGAATTAATGTCTTGCTCTTAAGACCTGGAGCTGATGCAGTTACATAGATGCTACTCTTTTTATGGGGTGTCATGGATTCAGGTGGCTGCTTCATAAGAACTAAGGAAGATTCTTTATGAATTATTCCAGAGAAAGAATTGCTTTTGTTAGAATCCAATGGCACTCTCTGAGTAGGCAGTAGAACAGAAGTGTTATTGGATATAAATGCATGCAAAGCAGGCAGATGCACTTTCCTGTTCCTTGGGTTCATCTTTCTCTCTGCTGGTAATGTGGAGTGTCCATTAACCAATCCAAACTTATTATTAAAAGAAGTGACAACTGAAAATTCCTGACCATCATTTCTAGATAATGCATATTTTGTTGTGCTTGAATTTCCAGTAGTTACTGTGCTCAATGGAGTGCCTGAACTTTTATTAAAAGAGGGGTTAGATGTGTTTGTACTGAATGATTGTTTTGTATCTGTGGCCAAAGGCACTTCAGCAGGTGGCACAGTCAACTTGGAACTGACAATGACATGAGGTGACTCGTTTATCAATGGCAAAGGGGATGATGATGGAGAGGTTGAAATTATGTCTGATCCAGGTGTGATTTCTTTTGAAATGGAAGATTTTGCATATGGCATTATCTGAGATGACACAGTAGTAGTTTGATGTGTTACTGATGATGATGTGGACAATGCAGAGAACACACCGATTTGAGGCAAACCTGATACAATGGTCATTTCATCAGCATCTTGAGACCTCATTGCTGACTCAGCTGATACCTCAGAAGGTTCCTGGGATGCACTGTTGCCACTGCCTTGGTACAGACTTGGCAAAAACCTAGCTTGGTCCATAGTTCTGGTCCGTGTCCCTGCTAATGTACTTTTTATTATCTGAAGCAGATTGGCATTTTCCAAGGCTTGCCTCATTGAAATGTCACCCACTGAGGAAGACTCAAGTTCTTTAGAAGGCCATGTTGGTGATAATATAGCTCTCCAGTTGGTAAAAGACTCTGAAGAGGGGGCAACATTTATCTGCTGCTGTTCAATACCTGAAAAATAATACATTTATAATGAGTAACTTCCAAAAAACACAAGAATAATATAACACTGGATAATTATTTTAATTTTTTCCCATGCCACACAAGGATGAAATGGAAATCTTGATCTGCAGCCAGAGATTGTGCCAAAATACAATTCCCTGTCTTTTCATTAACACTGCAATCATAGCTATGACACACAGTTGGAAACCAGAGTCCCGAAGTACATCCTCACTAGATCATCAGAATAAAAAGCAATGTGTATCCATTTTTTAGAGGGAAGGGGAATGTGCCTTGGGGAACAGACAAACACAATTAGTGACCTTTGGGGCAAGACACCTACAATATCTCTGTTGAAATGACACTTACAAATAAAAGTAAAACAGCATCATAATAAAGATAAACTGCATATGAACATTCCTCATACATGACGTTTCTCATTCTGGGGGACCATGTTTTAAAAATACATGACAAATACAATGTACCTTGTGGTTATAATGGTTCCTATCATCCACATAAATTATAAAGGACTGACCATGCTACCTTTGACAAAATACCAATGTAACTATCAGCCATAGTGTGTCAACATATGAAGTGAGAAGCTTGGGGTTAGCAATAGCTAAACAAAAGGAAGAGATGCTGACAACCAAGCATCAGTGATTTGGCAAATGATACAGCACAGGAATAGTGTCAGTCTTGGCTTGGTTCCTCTATGGAGCAGCTGTAGGTGTTTATCTTGCCAGCTTTAATTATGTGCACAATTACAAGCAGGCAAGAAAGAAAGAAAGCAAGGATCACAATGAGGGGGAAAAGAAAGGGCAAATATTAAAATGAACCAAGGGACTATTCATATGTGCAAGAACACATGCACATACATATATACACTCTTACATACAAACATGTAGTTTATTTTAGAAAGTACCAGCAAAATGGTTGCACTTTACATCAGACATGGCTATCAGATTTTCTAAAGTATATCTGTACATGTGTATGTTCCTTCTTTTGTCGTCAAATTTGAAGTCTCAATGGGTTAACATGACTCTTATGTAGAATATAAAAGGTCAGCCATTGTCATTCTCCATGCTTTACAAGCCATGTGACAGCCCAGTATATCAAAAGCATTATAAGTGGCACACATGCTTGCATACCCTGTGGGACTTCTTGCATTCTGGTTTATTCTGTCTTATTCAATATGAGCTACTGGATCTACTGCTTTCCTTGACTTAGCATGCGGGCAGAAACAAGCTCCACCAAGCAGCATGTCCTTATACAATATCAAGTCACCATGGGACACTGTAAAGGACAGGCATTAGCTGCCCACCCCCAGCCCATAACAGGAAAAAAGAATACTTAATACTGTTGGGCCCAGTTCATTTTCACCACTTCATGCTGTTGCTTTAGCCAAAGCAGAAAGCACAACAGTATGTTGCAGGCCTCCAAAAAGTCTAAATATTTTGGCTACAGAAATGCTTAGGTTTTCCAATTAAGAACATTAAAGATTTTTTTTTAACAAGAGCTGCTGAGGATTTTACACCAGCCTTCCCCAACCTGCTGTCCTCCAGGTGTGTTTATGCCAGAAGGGGAATTTTGGGAACTGTAGTCCAACACAGCTGGAGGACACCAGGTTGGGGAAGGTAGTTTTAGGCAGCTGGACACCTGGATTAACTAATATAATTAATTTATTACATTGCTCGAATTAAGCTGTTTAACACATGGCTATATAGCATATTTATACAATAAGGCTTACTTTACTTTTCTTGTCAATATTTAAGACCTATATATTAAGGGACATAATGAATGAGTGGTACCAGCCTTTGTTGCAGTTGATGCCAATAAAGCATTTATGAGGCAGTTAAATTAAAGGAAGTGTTGATAATATAAAAATTAAGGATAACAACATACTGCAATTACATGGAATAATTATAATTTTCTGCATGTCTTTAGTGTTCAGTATACAAAGTACCGTATTTTTCGCTCTATAAGATGCACCTGACCATAAGATGCACCTAGTTTTTAGAGGAGGGATCCATGGAAAGCTTCCTGATAATCACAGGCACATTCCCCATCACTTGCCCATGGGCTTCATTAAAAGACGGGTTGCCATTTGAAAACACACCGACCTGTGATTAACAGCTGTCACCTGTGCCGGAGGAGGGGGGCGGAGCAGGGCGCGCAGAGCGTGTGCCGGCCAGGTGTGGTGCAGCTGGGCCAGCAGCGTGCCGGCGGTCTTCCGGGCGGCACGGTGGCGGCAGGTCTTCCCGGGCAGTGGGGGTGAGCAGTCCGTCTCTCCGTGCGGCCGGCGGGTTAAAGCCCGCGGCTCCTCCTCCTCTGCACCGCTCCCCCTGAGTGGCACAGCTCTCACCTGCGCCGGAGGGGGGAGCGGAGCAGGGCGCACCGAGCGCGTGCCGGCCAGGTATTGCCATGTGGTGCAGCCGGGCCGGCAGCGTCCTGGGCATCGGGCACACAAACATTTGCTCTATAAGACACACAGACATTTCCCCTTACTTTTGAGGGGGGAAAAAGTGCGTCTTATAGAGCAAAAAATACGGTATTTTGCTGGTAGAGCAAAATAGCTTTGACCCTTACTAAAGGAAAGATGGGAAACAAATGTTTCAAATTATGTAAATTTGAATATACTGCATTTATAACCCACCTTTCTTCCTCCTACAAGGAACCTTAAGTGGCTTACATTGTCCTCCTCCACTCCATTTTTATCCTCACAATAATCTCCTAGGTCCCTAGCCCAGCATGCTAACCATTCCTCAAATAATCAAATAAATAAATAGGACATGAACCATTCAAGCTCTAACTGTTTTCTAGATGCACAGTCATGAGGGCTATCTTGAACTGAAAAAGACAAACCTGATTAGCCTCTTATTTGAGAAGGTGACAGATGAAAACCTGAAAAGCTCTGCTCCAGATGTTTTGCACTTCAGTAGCCCCAGTTTGGATAGCCAATGGTCAGAATGCTGGACATTTGGAAGGCACCAGGCTGGGGAAGGTGAACTAAGGTGCTAACATAATTGGAGAATCTCTAAACCAAGGACCAAACTAGACTATATGTTGGAGATTTCTGACCTTAGGGCCATAATACCTGATAGAACACCTCTCCTGACTTTAATCTACCCAGACCCTATGATCTGAATCTGGGGCCTTCCTCCAGCTGCTACCCTTAAGGGAGGTCGAGAAGAAGGCAACAAGGAAGAGGGCCTTTCCAGTGGTGCTCCCCCCATCCCCCCTTGGTGGAATGGTCTTCCCACTGAGGCCCACTCAGTGCCAACACTGTCATCTTTTTGGCATCAGGATAAAACTGCCCTCTATTTCCAGGCATTCCATGGATTTTATCTGCTGTTTTAATTAGGTTTTTAAAATAGTAATTTTTAAAAATTAGTTTTTAATGGAAATGTTTTAGAAGTTAAACTGTTTTATATTTTTGTATTTTGAAATTTTAAGCTGTTTTAAATTTTATACTGTGAGTTATTGTATTTTATTGTATCTTTTGCATTTGATTAAATTACTGTGAACTATGCAGAGAACTTCCACTATGGAGTGGCACAGAAATGAAATAAACTCTTATCTCCAATTTGTATGTGAAAAGCATGTTCTTGACAGAAAAATCTGGCAAAATGATAGGAATTGCCTAGCTATCTCAGGGTTCATGCTCAACCAAAGTAATGTAGTATTGAAGCTAAGTTCCACTAAAGTAGGGATATGTCTAATGGGCGGCGGGGGGGGGGGGGATGACTGTTTCTGCTCATTTCTAAGTGATGAATTCGCCACCAAAATTAAGCATTTGTTCACTTTCCTCTAACCAACCCAGACCTCCACCACACATTGGGAAAACAAAATATAATGCTTGTAAAAGTAAGTCTTTTAATGAGCAAACTTGTTCAGATGAATTTCTGTTTTTTTCAGAAAGCTGTAGTATCAACAGAACAAAATGAAAACTTGATGCACTCCTCCATGAGTGTATCTTCCCCTAGTTCTTCCACCACAAATAGAATTGTTCCTTCATTGGTAATCCCACCTATGATGTTTCTGGATTTTGGCAAATGCTTATATTTCAGGCACTCATTGCCACCATAACAGAGAACTTCACAAGCTGACCCTTTTCCACTGTCCCCAATTCACCTAGCATATTTTAAAATCTCCTCATACCTTGGTAAGAAGCTTAGGCACAAGATGAGCACTAATGTGAAATGAATTTTGAACAAGTTAATATATTAAAGGGATCTTTCACACATAAGAGGATGTTAACATTTACTCTGGGGTTTTCAAAAAGCTGCTTAGTGAACAATTCTTTATGACTCAAGAGACACTGCTCCTGTTGCAAGCCCCTGAACACTTCTTTTACCTAAGGCTGAATTTCATAAAACTTCTTTGCTAGCCAAATACCCATCCTACTAAGTCCGGTTTCTGGGTAAAGTCCTCCTCTGATACCAAAAGTTGTATTTCTGGCTTCTTGGGCAGTTTCTGGGTTTTTATTTCCAGCTTCCTTAACTTTTTCCACCAAGCTAGCTCAGTCAATCAGAATCGAGTGTACCTAATCCAAGCCCCACCTAACAATATTCCATGTCTTTCCTGCCAATATCACTGCTAGTCAGGACTTTGTCAGCAACAAAACAAGGCCTCAGACCTAATAAGATGCAGTACTGTCTCAAAAAGGCAAGACTAAGAAAATGTTAAATGACAAAGTTATATACAGAGCCATTCTTTACAGACACCCCAAGCCCTCTGCAGTGACATTCACTATTAGCAGAGAAACAAGCATGCATGTTTTATTCTACCTGCAATTGTGGAAGAAATACTTGTGGAACTGTTTATTAAGCAGCTCTGTTTGATTTTAAAACATGTTTGTCCAAGCATCTCAGGCTCTTCACTATGCTATGATTTTCAGCTTGCGATCTAATGTAAGTTGGCAGAATCTACTATCAACAAAATATAACTTCAAGTGTGATCAATTGTAAGTATGCAAGTTCACTAAGATGGACCTATTTTTTATTCTAAATTAA